CTTCCCACTTCTGAGATGCAATCGTGGAATAGGCCTGGGGTAGACATTCCTATTCCATAAGGGAGGAGTCAGAAAGAGGTCAGTGCTCCTGAGCAAGTCCAAAGCCAGGGAAGAAGGGAGAGAGGGAAGGAGGGAGCGAAGGAAGGGAAAGGAAGGAAGGAGTGAGTGCAGGAGAAGGAGGGAAGGGGGGGAAAGGAAGGAACTGAGGGAGGGAGGGAGGAATCCTTTTTGGCTTCATATTCTGTCCTCCTGTCCGTCTACCTCCCCTGAGGTCCCTGTTGGTGGCTCTGCCCCTCAGCCTTTGGCCACTGTCACAGAGGAGGTCACCCACTCTGTGAAGCCAGTGAGCAGTCTGCACCTGGGCCTCTGTGCTCTGTATCTGGTGGCAGTGGTCACCATGTGGATCTCTGAATCGCCCTTTGTTTTCCTTATGAGGAAGGATGTATGTAGGTTTGCCCCCAGGTAGCACTGTTGTCAGAAGTCTAATCCTTCCTTCACTTCATCCCGTCTGTCCATTTTAGTCCATACTGGCTGTTGCTCTGTTGGCTTAATCCCATGTCCAGGCTATCCAGAGGCAATCTCTCTCTCTCTTTATTCTGGAGTGATTGTCTAGCCATGCCTGGATGTCCTCTCTGGAACTTGCCTTCCCTCTTTTGCAGTGTGTATAGGCTGAGGATTTTCTGAGTCTTTCTGAATCCCTTCTCCAATGTAGCTCTCCCTTTGCATCTTACCATTATCTGCAAGGAGAATCCAGGCTACACTCTCTTAATTTTCTTTAAAAATCCCTGCTAAATATCCAGGGTTAATTGTGTCTTCCAGGAAACATGAAAGTCCAGGGTAGGCCAGTTTCTTCCTGTCTTTCCTTTGGTTTCCAAAAACACCTTCCAGCTGGCACCAGTGGCTCACACAAATAATCCTGGCTACTCAGAAGACAGAGATCAGGAGGATTGCAGTTCAAAGCCAGCCCTGGGCAAATAGTTTGAGAGACCCTATCTCATAAATACTCAACACAATAAAAGGGATGGCAAGTGGCTCAAGTGGTACAGCGCCTGTCTAACAAGTGTGAGGCCCTGATTTAAAACCCCAGTACCACCAAGATAAAAAGCAACAGCACCTTTTATACTTGACTCCGAGGCTGCACCCGAATGACTGGTGATGTCTGTTTTCCTGGCAGCAGTCCTTCCAAGACAACCGAGCTTTTTCCTAACACACCACCACCTGACTCTTCCCGGCAGTCACAGCGTCAAAGCCACCTGCACACTTGTTACAGCAGTGCCCGCTTCTCAGTCCACACGTGCATTATTGAAACAAAAGCAATAGGGTGGTTATCTATTTGCAAAGGGGTGTATTAAAGGAATTGGCTCCATGAACATGAGTTCTGGTGAGGTGAAGATCTGCAGTGCGCAGGTGGTGGTGGGATTGGAGTGGGAAGGCAGTCTGCAGGGTAGTTCTCCCTTGCTCTCAGAGACCAGGCTTTGTTCTGTTCAGGCCTTCAGCTGATTGGTTGAGGCCCACCCAACACTGTGCTGTATGATGTGTTTACTGGAAACTTTATAGGTTAAACATTAACCTCACCCAAAAACTCCTTTCCAGTTGACACAACACATAAAAACAAAACTATCACAGCAGGTAGCGTTAATGGGCTCTACGTAAGAGGAAAGACAGATAGTGACAGTAGAGTAACATTTAAAAATTTAAAAATCTGGGCTGGAGCATAGCTCAAGTATAGTTTGCCTACCATGATGAAGGCCCTAGCCTCAACCCCCACCCCTCAAAAAAGCTGAATGTAAATGGGTGCAGAAGTAGTTGGATATAGTGGTAAATGCCAGGCATGGGCAGAAAACACGACACTTCCTGCTCAGAAGGCGGTTCTCTTATCTTCACAATCGAATGGGCTGGGGGATTTTAGAGATCCCTGTGTCCAGGGTGTGCTGCAGTGATCTGAATCCTTGGGGTGAGACCAGGCACTGGTCTTTCTTAGGCCTCTCCGAGTGACCGCAGTGTGTAGCCAGCCCTGAGAACCACTCCTGAGGCAGGCACAACCATGAGTAGTAGTTTAAAAATTTGCCACCTGCCCAGAAACTCCTGGACTCAACGAGAGTGGCTTTCATCCATTGTCTGTCCTCCTAGCTGGCCTTGGTCGCACGGGCACCCTGATTGGTTGCTATGTCATGAAGCATTACAGGATGACGGCAGCTGAGACCATCGCCTGGATCAGAATCTGCAGACCGGGCTCGGTGATTGGACCTCAGCAACAGTTTTTGGTCATGTAAGTCAACTGGAAGCTTTTGTGATTGATTCCTTGGGAAACACGGGGTCTGGAGATGGGGGAGAAGTGTCATTTCCATCAGTCTCCAGTAACGACAGGTGGTCTGGTAGGAGAAAATGCTGTCTCTTTCTGGAAAGCCATGTTTTGATCTTATTCACTGCTCTAGGAAACAGTCGAGCCTCTGGCTGGAAGGGGAATATTTTCGTCAAAAGTTGAGAGGTCAGGAGAATGGACCTCACAGAACTGCCTTCTCCAAACTCCTCTTGGGTGTGGATGACATTTCAATAAATGAGGTGGAGAATCAAGACAAGGAGGCAGCCGAGCCGGTAATGGAGCCATCCCCGTGGTGCTGCTTGTGTAGCCTTAGGTGCTGCTGAGAGTCCAGTAGGTTACGGAGAGCACTGTAGGTAAAAAGAATAAAGCATTTTGAGGGGCTAGCATCACACAGTTTCTTATGTTCATAACCCTCTCTAGGAATTTACTGGAAAGAGTTAAAGTCGTGTGTCCATAACTAATATATATATATATATATTTTTTTACTCCTTAAGTACAGGTGGAAATACCAGTCTGTGAAGTCTCTTTAGATGGACCTAGTTACTCTCCTGCCCCCCTCTCCACACACTCTCCTTTAGGGAACCATAGTCTCAAAGGGAGAGTTTTTAAAGAAGCAAGGCTTTAGATAGAAGGTAGCAGTGCTACATTAAAAGACGGTAAGTGGATGGGGAAAGTCTAAAAAGAGTGTTTTCAAACTAAAAACCCACCATGTCTCTTCACTGCCCGAGTGTTGTAACAAGAGGGCTGTTGGGGTCTGTGCCCATGAAGTCAGCTTTAGTTGTCTTGAATGGGACCTGAGAAAAATACTTGAAGTGTCTGTGTCTGTGGGTTTATCCAAACAGGCAAAACTTAAATCATTAGCTCGGTGTTCTTTCTTTCTTTCTTTTTCTTTTTCTTGGAGATACTGGGATTTGAACTCAGGGCCTCACTCTTACTAGTCAGGTGCTTTACTGCTTGAGCCACTCCACCAGCCCTTTTTTGTGTGATGGGTGTTTTCAAGATAGGGTCTCATAAACTGTTTGCCCAGGCTGGCTTTGAACCGTAATCCTCCTGATGTCTGCCTCCCAAGTAGCTAGGAAATACAGGCGTGAGCCACAGGTGCCCGGCTAGCTCAGTGTTCTTTTACTTACACAGTACAGTGATGACGACGAGGTCAATGGAGTGACACAAGGTGATCGACTTCGGGCCCTGAAAAGCAGAAGACAATCCAAAGCAAACGCTGTGCCCCTCACGTGAGTCCTGCTTCCCTCTGCTGGGGTTGCTTGTGTTGAGTTTTGTCTGTTGGGTTCTTTGTGAACACTTTTTTCTGAATGACCAGTAAGCCAGTTTGCAGTGGTGACCTGTTGTTTAAAATCTAGGGGTGCTTGCCTAAGAAGCTGTCAGCCATTCATTTATCTGTGTCCTTTGTGGTGACCTCAGGAACCACCATATTTGGGAAAGCAGCATTAGCAAAGCCTTTTCTCCACGGACAATTAGCTGTGACATCCCCAAGAGAGTAACAGCACATGGAAGGCCCAGAATAAGACTCGCCCTTAGTTACTGAAACGATGTTTCCATAAATTCACCACCGTATTACAGATCATCTGTTCTGAGATGGTAGATTGCAGACAGCTGTGACATGATGGCTTACCATTGTTATATTGCTTTGGGGTGACAATGAATTAGCCTAAACTATATTTTTGCTTGGGAGATTATTTTCAAATTACAGAAGAAGGTTTAGCCTGAAAATAGGAAGTTTCATACTCACTGAATGTGTTTTTATGGCCACATGCGATTCTTATGGATGTGTTAGTTTGGGTTTGGTCAGTAAATACGGATTATCAAACTCCATGGCCAGTGTTCTCTTTTATAGGCTTTGGATCCCTTCCTTCTAGGAACCTCCCTTACGTGGGGAGCTACACTACCAGCCCTTTTTTGTGGGCAAGGACTCATGGAGTTAGTTCCTTTTATTTAGTAAGCACCTGGTGAGGAGCTGGATGGTGTAATAAGTCATTTGCATTGGCAGAGAGCAGGCTTTATTTTTAATTAGAAGTGGTTGCCCAGTTAAGTTCTGAAGCAGGGTTACCCGTAATGCACCTGTCATCATAGGTTGCTTCTTTGGCTCTTAAAGAACAGAGTTTTTCCATGTGAAGTGCCAGGTGATACAGGACATCAATTATGAGTTAAGGACTTTTGTTAAGAATTCTCTTTGCAGGTTCCTGGTGCTTTTAAGTCAAGCAGACTGTTTTATGAACGGTGCCTTTGTATAATTCTAAGTACCTAAAAATACACTGTATGATATATTTAACCTCAAATGCTGTTTTTGTTTTTAATTTTGTTAACATTTTTACCTGAGGCCTTAATGGTTCATTTTATTTAGAAAATAATGATCCTGAAAGTAATCTAGACTTGATGGAGGAAGGTAGGTAGTGCCCTCAAGCCTGGCATCTGGAAGTGGCTGTATATTGAGTCACCTGAGAGCTTGTTAAAACTGAGTGGGTCTGGGCTGGGGTCTGAGCCCAGCAAGCCTCCCGTGTTGCAGATGCAAGGGTTCAGAGACCACACTTTGAATTGCAGACCCTAGAAAGTCAGTGCTTTTGTGGGCTACTTTTAGCTGGGCCCAAGTTTTTTGTTTTGTTTTTAGGAATCTGCACCATGAGTTTATTCCTTACTAGCTGTTGCCCTCTGTTGGGAGTCAGATGGAAGTTCCGATGCAGATTCTTCTGGGTCAGGATCCCTGCTAAGGAGGACTTAGAGGTTCCCTTCAGTTGCCTCTCCACTGCACTCAGCAGTGTTTCCCAAGTTCGTATCACTCGGTGCTTATTTCTAGGAAAGCGGAGATGATAAGCCCGGAGCTGATAAGCCCGGAGCTGATAGGTTCACAGTCATATAAAGAATGCAAATGAAGATTAGAATGGTAGATATGGTGTCATTCCATTCTTCGGGATGTGCCAGGTTTGTTTAGTCTTCTTGTTAAACCTCCCTTCCTCCCTTTCCCCAGAAAAAGAAAGAATAAAGACTGCTGTATGCTGAAGTACTCTTGGAGTAAAACCAGTAAAATGGTAAAAGAAAAACAGATTGCTAGGTCCCCTTTTGTAATTGTAGTTCTAAAAACAATAGAATGCCCCAAACTGCTCCATAGCAGGCACTTAGGCCCCACTTTTAAAGACATAGCAGAATCTCAAATTGTTCTATTCTGGGAAACCTGGGGTCTTTCAGTGGAGTCGCAGGGAACCCTCTCCATCTCCTCTCCAGCATGTCGGTCTTCCCCTTCTCTGCTTCTCTAAACCCCCTTTGCTTTTATAATCTTGTCTCCCCCCCACCCCCTTATTTGTAGCTCTTTTAGCCATAGGAGAGTCAGTGGAAGTTCCCTTTCTGTCCCCTGCCGTGTCTTTGTTGGCAGTTGAGTTGAGAATCTCAGTTCAGGTCTTGCCTCCCCGATTGAGGCAAGTATCTGTTACTGTGGGCAAGCTGCTTTGCCTACAGTGTTACTTAGTGATAGGAAAATGCCTGCAAGAAGGGAAGTTAAGGAGGAATACACCAAAACTGCTGATTCTTTGGAGAAAGTTCCAATATATCAAATATTATTCCAGTGGTTAAGCAATCACTTTATAAATGGTGAAAGTCTGGCAGAGTTCAAGTTGCTGGAAATTGTAACAATAGCCCTTTCCTCAGAGAGCCAGTCAGATGCTGGCTTCCACGAAGACCATGAATCAGGTAGCCACCCAATTCGGATCTGACCCTCAGGCCTCCGTGGCAAGAATATTGTCTGTGCTGAAGTTTATCTGGGATATTCCCTAACTTGAGCTCAGCTTCCTGTTCTGTGTGCTGCCGAGTCTGCTAGGGTTATATGAAATGACACCAAACAAGAGAGTTGTATCCTACGTGGTAAATGAGGAAGAAATAGATATAATTAAAGTCCTTCCTAATGGTGTGTTGAGATAGGCCAGTGTTTCAGCAGCGGACAGTAATGGTCACGCCACGAGCTTTACCAGAGAACAAATAAAAATCTGCAGTGTAGACACCTGGACTTGCACCATTCTGTCTTTAAGATAACATTTCATTCAGTGGCTGCAAACAAAGGGTGGGATGGGTGGAGACTTCTCTAGGGTGTTCCTAGACTGTTCTGATCTGTTTAAATATTAATATGATATTATGTAATCTGACAGTCTGTTCGTAGATTTCTTATAGATATGAGATGAGATGGTGTAACTTGTGGGATGAAGTTAGGCTTTATTTTAGGGCCACCCTTTATCGTAATCTCTTTGCACCATAGACACACGCTCTTGATGAAAGAAGACGCTACAGTGAACCAGATGAGTCATTTCCAGCTGGATCAGCCCTAATACTGTGCACACAGCAAGTGCTCAGTAGACCTTTGTATCTGGTCACAGGTGTGTCCAGGTGACAATCTGGAAGTGCTGTGGCTGGAAGGAACCATGACCCTTCCTAGGGTGAGGTGTCCTTGTTGGTAGAGCCCAGACCTGTGAATCAGATGGCACTGAACTCAAAGCCACCTGGAGGAAAACAACTGAGACAGTATGATAAATATCTGTGAAGTGGTCGCTCCAGCGTGGGTGTGCTTCCATAACCTGTAACAGACTCCACGTTGTCAAAGTGTGCGATACAACTGCACTCTTGCGTGGTCTTGTTGAATTCATAGGGCTTATCCTCTCCTTCCCCCTTGTGGTTTGGTTCGGGTTTTTTGTGTTGTATACATTTGTGCATTTAACTATGACCCATTTCAGTATCACAAAGTTCAATGAAAATGGGTCCTTTATCCAACTAGAGATTACCTCTCGCCTTTGTTCCCAAGTGTCAACCGTGTTTACCCCTCAAGACAGCATTGTTTCTTCACAGAAATTGGAAAACCTGCATCCTTGTTTCCTGCCCTTTCTGCATCCAGTTGCTGTTCTGAGCCTTTTGGGGGTGTCTAAAATTCCCAGGTGGCTGCATGTATGTATTGATTTGTTACAGTGTTTATTTTGGCTTCCCAATTTGAACATCTGTTCTTTCCCCCTCACCCCTTTCCAGATGTTCCTTAGCTGTGCTGACCTCTGCACTGTGTAGTGTTGTCATCTGGCGGATTGTGTGTGACTGCATCCTTCCCATCCTGCTCTTCTGTCTCGATGGCTTCAGAGCACAGTAGCCATCAGGACCCTTTGACAGATAGCCGCTGTGTAAGTGCCCTTCTGTTTCTACCGTCGCTTACTTCTGGTGTCCATGTGTCCTTCCTCGCCATGCATGGTTTTGCTCCGGTTGGCTCCTGGCTTCATTGGTTTGCCTGCTTTCAGAGATTCCTTTTTCAGAATCTTCTCAACGAGCGGGGTGGTGGCAGGGAGGGTGGGCCTCCCCATTCCTTTCATAGAGGGACGTTAAAAGTAACACACCCTTGTTTGTAAGTTGCAGTTACCCTTAACAGATACTCTGAAACAGTCACTTAAAGACCTTGAAATTGAGAGTTCTCTTCCTTATCAAAAACGTTTAGTTACTTTGGGATAATTGGGGTGGTTTCCTTTCAATCGGTTGGCTGTACAATTTCCCTCTCGTTTTCTGTGTCTTCAGTATGTCCTCTCCAGTCTAGCAAAGAGGAAAAAGAATTTTCTATCACTCCTCTCCTTTTAGCAAAAACTGGGCTGTATAGCTTAAGGTCTGGTTTCTGCCATCCTACAGCAGCTCTTTCCCAAGCCTTCTGTCTTTGGTGCACAGGCCTGTCTTCTCTCCCTTCATTTCCTCCTCTATGGGCAATCCAGTAATAACAACGAAGTGAAAACAGGAAGGCATGGTATTTGTTTGTGCATTTCACTTGGCAATCCCTGGGCTCTGCTTTTCTCCTGGCCCTAAAATAATCAGAATGTCTTTATTAGCTTAATGTAGACAAGTCTGTATTCTCTTGCGGTCTTCCGTCCATGGAGTGGAAACCTTCACAGTGCAGAGGAACGTGGCAGGATGCTTGTGTGCGGAACATCACAGTTAAGACTCCTGGAGGAGAGCGTGTCCTCTTAGGTGTGCATTGCATTGGATTTCCTGAAACTGTTTCTTTCTCTCTTATTTTAAAAATGTCTTTCTTGCCCTTACTTGGACTTGGAAATTACCAGAGAGTGCAAAAGTCCTTCTAGGATCTCTTCCAAAGTGCAATTCCATTGGAAGCCAGCTCTGGCACTTACTTTGTGGTTTCATTGAGTACTTTCACATGGCTAAGCAAGATTTTTAAGATGCAGCAGAATCCACTCTTCCCAATGGAAGGAAGCCTGCTAGCCATGTCTTACGGCGTTTCCTTGAATGTCCTCCGAGAAGCGAGGGTCATATATTTCTGACTGTAGATTAATCTTCCAAGTAATGCTTCCTTCATGTGTTTGCATATTCTGGCTGGATCATCACACACTGTGTGGATGATTTACTCTTCTCAGACCATTCCAAGTGGCAGGGACGTTTTGAATGGGTGGAGTTGTTACTAAAAATATTTAGACACTTTATGGCCAGTCTCTTTCCTTTTCAGAGTGCTCTGTGAGATGGATAACTGCTTGTTGTTACTGACTTTGGCTGACACTTCAAGACTTCAGCATTCAGTCGGCCCTGTCTGTTCATTTGGAATTGTACCGAGGCAGAAAGCCTTCTGCGGCCACAATGATGCTAACAGGTGCAATCTGCAGCCATTGCTCCCTCATGACTTTCTTTCAAAGAGGCTTTATTTGTAGGGTGACTGTCACTGCTCCATCCTGCTCCTTCATCTCCTGGCTTGAGAGGTTGCTGTGCTGAGAGACCCCTTAGCCCGTGGCCTGGAGCCTTAAACCAGAACTACACTCCCGTTCCTGTGTCACCCACAGGTGATGGGAACAGTGGGAGGTCTTGGGACCCTCATTCTGAAAAGCTTATCAGTGGCACCCAGGAAATACTACATTGTTGACCTTACAGATTGTTTTCTTGGAATTGGACACTGGCATTTTATGGCTCGGTAGGTGAAACACTGGCTCTTTGGTTTTTCTGCTTTGCAGTGTGCCTGACATTGTGGATCTTACTGTATCTAAAATCTGAGCGAGCCAAAACTCCACACATCTTGCAGAGACAACAGTGAACTGTCTAGGAAGAGATAAGCAGGCCCGAGCATTTGTTAGGGAAGACAGGGAGGAGAAAAATATTGCTTGGGAAGAGCCATGTGACAGACCTGGCCGAGCATGGGGAGGAAGAGAGAAGGCAGCAAGTCTGCAGGGTCCTCAGGGCAATGGCTGTCTTCAGCCAGCTTTTGTCCCTGTGTTAGGAGTTACTTCTAGGCTACCTGGTAATACCTAAGCATAGCAGCTGGGGGTTCCCACTTTATCAAAGCATACCTTACAGATGCAGTAACTGTAGCCAGTACAAATAACTGGAGGGGTCATGGTGTGACTGATGCACCCTAAATTTCTGTCATTCTCTGAGTATCAGAGTTCCACAGATATTCTTAGGTACTAATACCATTATTTCATATTCACTTACAAATACACTTCTTAATCAGCCTAAGAAATACTCCTTGGTTGAGAGTAATTTCTTGTTTTAAATAATATTTAAACATTTCAGTAGCAATTAATTTAAGAAATCAGGACTCAAGATTTCCTAAGCAGGCAATGTGTTTGTTGTTTTTCTCCTGAATGATTTTACAGTTGTGGAAGTTACGCATACTTTTGGCCATGGGTGGCTTCAAGTTATTTGAAAAGTAGGTGTGGTATTTCAGGAAAAGCCAGCTGGAGTCTGGTCTTCTTTAGTTGTAAAGACAGGCGAGGAGGGGGATTGAGAAGAGCCTGAAGCTGGGGCCACCCACACTGGGAAGCATCAGCAGGTTGTTTTGCTTTCTCTCTGCCCAGTTCTAGATTCAGATCTAGAATAAGTATGACCTCCTCACTTTATGTAATCAGGAAGAATTTTTAGCAGCTGGAAGGAGGCCTCACTAATGTCCTGTAGCCCCGTATAGGATAACTGTGGCTATCCCACAATCAGTTGACTATTTCAAAATAGCTAGGAGATTTTGAATGTTCCCAGCACAAAGAAATGCTGTTTTCTTGGAGTGACCATACACCACTTAGCTCTGAGCTGAGTCTGGCACAGTGTCTCCATGTGTTGAAATAGCTCGTGTACCACATAGATGTGTACAGTGATTGTGTACCTATTAAAAATTTTCAAAAGGGCTTTTCAATGCATCTCATTCTCAGAAGCAGTATTCATAAGCCAGGGTTCCTTCTTGAATCCTACTGTGTCCTGCAGACACGGTTTCTGCTTTGTGAAAACATTTGTGAGATGCTGAGTCAAGCGTGGGCTGATGTGTATGGATCAAAATCCCTGCAAGCAGCTGAGGGGACCCACACGGGGCTTCCTGGGGGCGGGAGGACCAGGTGCAGCAGCTGGCAGCCCTGTAAACTGCCGTGCTTGGCCGAGACGGGCTCAGGAGAACCCCAGGCTCCTCTGAGGGATGGCGGAGTTAGCTTTGCTAAATGTCGCATGGTCCTGCAATCATGGGAACTTGCGTCTTTGCTGTATTTGAAGGACGCTGTCATTAAATTTCATGGTGGTGCTATTAGTGGTAATGGCTTCTTTTTATTCTGTGGTGATGAGCTAGGTCCCTACAAGTTGTCAGTGGCTCTTTCACCTTCCTGTTCGAATATGAGAGGAGAAAGTACAACAAAGCCAGTGTTTTCTCTTGGAGACAAGTTAAATATTGGCACGCAGAAATGAGTGCCCGTGGCCTTCAGTTTTTCAGTTATTAACTAATCTTGGAGCAAAGGCTTGCATGCCAGATCTTTTGGTGTTCTGTGACTTTCCCTGCGACAATTTCGCAAGGTAAAAGCAAGTGCTGTCCATGTATGAACAGGGTGTTCTGTGTGCCCTTTCCCTGGGACTGTCCTGTTTTATGAGTTTGCCTCTGGGGCAATCTACCTCCTGACTTTCAGAGTTTAATGATGGCAATTTTCACACTTAACTGATTTCACCTTCATTGTTACTGTACGTGGAGACAAAATGAAGTTTTGCTTTGAATGTATTTTAAGATTTTGATCTTTTTTTTTTTTTTTTAATTTTGACGGCACTGGGGTTTGAACTCCGGGCCTCATGCTTGCTAGGCAGGCGATCTACCACTTGAGCCACTCCACCAGCCCTATTTTAAGATTTTGAAACGTGACAAAGTTATTACTGACTGAGTGTCTTCAGGGATATTTTCATCTCTGATTGATGACTGTTACATAGCTGTTTCCTAGACTTACATTCATGTCCTCCAGGGTTTGGGTTTGTGACTTGTCGTCATGAGTACAGAGCTGCCAGTCTCTTTATGGATTTGTGTGGCTGATGGATTCCTTTGGTTAAGGCATTGCTTTTAGTGACAGGTCATTCATTTTTCCAAAAGCAAAGCACCCTGAGTATCTTTGTGTAATTTTAAAAGGCAAATGAGTTGCTTCATTTCAAAAGGCCTCGATGCAAAAATGTGTTTCAGTGTTTTTAAATTTTTTTTGGCAAATGTGCTTATGGGAAATTCTGTTGATTTGCAAAAAAAAATAATTTTGCATCAAACATCCAAAATGCCTTCCTCTGTCAATTGTTTCGGTGACTATAATCCCCTTTTTTTTTTTCCCAACTGTTTTCAGAGTAATTCTTCAGTCCAGTGTTCAGAGCTGTAAAACATCTGAACCTAACATTTCTGGCAGTACAGGCATTGCTAAAAGAACCACCAGATCTGCTTCAAGGAAAAGCAGTTTTAAAAGGTGAGAAGAATCTTGTTCTTTCCGAGAAGCTCCAGGCATTGGTTTTGGACCCTACCTCTGGAAATGGACGTGAAGACAGGAGGGAGCAGAGTCCCTATGGTGGGAAATAATTAACCCAGTATGTTTTACCTGTTCGTCACCTGCGAAAAACTGGACCACTGAGTGTGGCCTTTTGTGTTCTTTGTTGTTCAGAGAACATTTTTAACCATGGAAGTGTGGTCACATATGGGAAAGTTGAGAATGTTGTTCTTAGAACTTTTCAAATTAAATATTTCTTTGTCAAGGCTTGGAAGAAATCTTCCCATAGTCACTAGAGAACTAGCTTGCATATAAGTGTGATGCCAGAACTGTGATGGTTCTCAGAGGTTTGGGGACTCTTTTCGAGCTAATGTTTCCTTGTCCTCTGGCCACAGTCCTGTCCCAGATGTGCTGCTTCTTTCTTTTTTGTCCCATTAGTTGTCACTTCCTTCATAGGCTATCAAGAAAATGGACGTGCCCTAGACCAAACCAGTGGCTTGTTGTCCCCCAGTGGCTCATTTGTCATGAACTGAAGGTGGACATTTTGTTCAGATAGTCTAGAAACAGTTCCCTTTTGAGGGAGGAGTAGAGCCCAGCTGCCGTCGCCTCAGAGTGGAAGGTGGAAGATGGTGTTCCTTCATGCTTGTGCATCGTTGCCCGGTGTTGCAACCCTGAGGTCCTGATTTTGCCCTTGAGGCAAGATGGGTCTCTTCTGATAGCCTGTAAGTGGCCAGAAGATAATCAGAACCAGACTTGAAAGCATCCGCCACAGTTTCCCTCATTTCTTTTTCACTTTCCTCCCTGCATCGTTAGGAGGCTTCGGTCCCTCGGGCCTTGCTGTCAGTGTGGAGTTTGTCCCTGGTGCTTCCTGAGGGCTCCTCGTGCTTGGCCTTGATGTTTGGTGGAGTCCTTCCATCTTGTCCTTTTTTCCTCCTTGCTGACTCTCGTAAACTTTGCTCCACAGTCACAGTTCCATGACAGTGGGACAGTGCCCTAGCATCAGTATGGGAGAAATTGTCAGGCCCTGACTCATGATTTCAGCAGTTTAAATTTTTCATTAGAAATCATAAAATACTACACTTGAGAAGAAAATTAGAGGAATGCCGACAAAAGGTCAGAGATTTAGGCACACCTCAACAAGACGTCACAATGTTACTTGTAACTAAGAAACAGGAAGTTACCTTTAGACAGCTAAATTGTGTCAAATAAATTGAGAATTTTTTTTTTAATTTATTTGTTCATTTGCAACGTTGGGGACTGAATGCAGGGCCTCAACGCATGCTGGGCAAGTGCTCTACCATTGAGTCACACCCCCACCCGGGTCATTTTCTTAAAGGAAAGTTAATGACTCGGATAAATGCCTCTGAGACAGTAAGTGAAATAAGCCATGTATGAAAATTCTGAGGCATTGCTCTAATTTTGTAAATACTTTTTATAATATACATAGAAGTGGATAGCTATAGAAATACTTACACATATACACGTTTCTAAATAGGTATTGAGACGAGGCAGAGAAAAAAATCTCCTCCAATACTGACCTTGCTTCTGGTTCTAGGGGAGTGTTTGTCAGTTTCCAACTTCTCTACCATAAATGGCAGGAGTGGAGAGTATGGTCAGCCTCGCACTTCTGGGTGACGCACACTGTCAGGAGGTAAATGAGCAGTAGGTGTCAGGGTGCCTTCGTGAGTGCGGTCTTTTCCGTTCTAGATGATCACGCTGCCATTACAGACTCTCGGGCCTCCCTCCTTTAATTCTGCCCTTTGCTCTTTTGAACCATTACAGAGGGTAGAATCCGGGATGGAGCAGACTTGCCGCAGCATCCGGACTCCTTCGGGAAGGGCTGGCCAGGCCTCAGTCTCTCTGTCTAGGTCCCGTTGCTTCTCTGTGTTGCTCCTGTGGTCACTGTGCCTCTCTGGAGAAGCAGTTCCTGATGGCTGTGAGTGCCCCCCGTGGGCCTGGACAGGACGCCTCCAGGGTTCTTAAAGTAGATTCCAGGCTGGACGAGCTAGACTCTGTGGTCCAGACAGTTCGTAGGAATCCAGGGCAGTTCTGAAAGTCAGATTTCTGCTCCCTTCTGAGAGGACCTCTTAGAGATAGTCAGAGGCAGAGAAAGGCCACAGGGGCGGGTCCCTAGGGTTCTCAGCTCACTTAGCCACCCTCCTCTGCATGGGTGTTTGAGAGGGCATCGGCCTGTGCACCTGAAGTGCTGTCCATGTCCAGCTTACAAAGCAGAGGTGGGGAGATTACAGACAGGGCCCCACCTGCTTCCTTGGCAGCCAGGCTGTAGCCTGGAGTCTTTATCTTACTGCATGTTTGGTTGGAGGGTAGTGAAGGAATTAACAGTGGTGCTGGGAATATTGAGTAATTCCAAAGTTCTGAACTGAAATCTTGGAACACGCACGCACAGCCTCCCTCTTGGAATGTGTTGCTCTGAACCTTCAGGGAGCCAGGCCCACCAGCCGCTCGGCTGCTCTGTGTGGGACACCTTCAGGTCTGTGCTGTCCCTCGTCACCGCCTGACGTGCATGACCTTGACTGTCCAGTCACACACCCTCCTGTGTTCTTTGAGGCGCCTTTGGCTTCTGACGGTTTACTGAGAGACTCTTCAACCCTGAAGAACTTTTCTCCACACTTACTAAAAAGCAGTTGCTAAGGGGCGAGGGCTGAGAGACTGGGGACTTTGTCCTTGGGATCTGCGGCCTTGGAAGAAACACTGCTTCTCAAGCCACACGACCATTCTGTCAGGAGTCTGTTAGGACGTAAGTTGAGGTGCCTCTGTGGCAGTGCAGACACAGCGTGGTCACACTAGTGACGGTGCTGAGGCCCTGTGTGCTTCCTTCTCGGTCCCTTCTCAGCTCCAGAGGGGAAATTCATGGCCCAGGTGTGGTGGGCCACCCCTGGAATCCCAGCCCCTGGGGAGGCAGATGTGGGAAGGTTGCCAGTGCGAGGCCAGCCTGGGCTATGTAGTGAGTTCAAGGCTAGCTTGGGATCCACAGCTAGACCCTGTCCCAAAACAAAAGCAAAAACTATAGCAAGAGTTAGTAATCCAGATGGGGTCATAGCTCAGTGGTTGAGTGTTTGCCTAGCACGCGTGAGGCTCTGGGTTCGATCTTCAGTACTGCAAAAAAAAAAAAAATCGATAAATGCAGTGAATAACTGACTAAAAGGAAGTAGCCTGTTTTTCTGTGTTTCTGCATGAATTCTGAAGAGCTCTCAGAATGAGTCACAAGAGGCCATCACGCCTCCAACAGAGAACTCACAGGCACCTCATTTGCTAACGTTTGCCTCAATTCATATTTTTAGCAGCTCTTCCACCGAGTGCATGCTTCTGGAAGCTTCTGCTGTTTCTAAGTTGCATCTGTGGGAACCATTTCTCTGCTCCAGCTGCCAAACCAACTGGACGTCAGTCACTTTGGGGTGTCTTGTGCCATCCATCGCTTTGGGGTGTCTTGTCCTGGTTTTCCATCACTCTGGGCCTTCACGTTTCGTTCTGCCATTGTGTCCAAAAGTTCATCAGTGGAGGAGTCCTGGGATGGTCTCTTCTGTTTTTCTCTGATAAACACTGGCTCCTGCTGAGCTTTTCAAAGATTGATAAATATCCTGGAAATTCCAGCTAATTTTCCACGTGGCTCCACCAGCTGACAGGACCTTCTTACTCAGTGCTGTTGGGGTCTCTAAGAACTCACCCATCAGTTGGGACCAGCGTTCTCTGGTCAAGCAGCCCCATGCTCCAAGTGACTGGAAGTGGTGGTTCTGACTCTCTTACTTTCCTTTTCCTCTGGAGGTTGCTGTTGAGTGAAGTGCAGTGGAGCACGCTGAGGCAGGACGGGAGGGAGGGAGGGAATGAGGGAAGGAAGGGGCGAGGGTGGGTGTCGTCCCCTTGCAGGCAGGCAGGTGTGCTGAGGAAGGTGGGGCCCGAAGACTGGAAAGTGCTGGAGGTACCGGAACTTCTGCTGGGACCACTTCTGGCCTTGATCCCTCCAGTGACCCTTCTTTGTCTTCTCGTTCCTTCCTCGTTCCCCGCAGCCTGGTTCCTCAGAGGGAAAGAAGGAAAAGGAGTGCTTTGCAGCGGAAGCCCTCCGTGGCGTTCTGGTACTTTCCTTGCTCTGCTGCCCATCTTCGTTGGTTTTTTAATTTATTCCTATTGGTTGTTTTTTATTTTCATTTTTTGCAGAACTGAAGCTTTTTTCTGCTCTGCCTTTCTCGCCTGTGTGTCTTTCCTTTTATTGGTTGATGCTGTACTGTCTCCTCTGAAGTATTTGTCCCTAAAAGATGATAGAGCGTGTGTACTTTTCAGCATGTCGGTATTTTCATTGTCACCTCCCTTGTCTTTGATAACTTCCTCTTGACCTTTACAACCTTCGCGGTAAAACCCCCTTTTTTTTTTTCTCTCCAGTCCATCCATTTCAAGGACTAAAGCAGTCTTGCGTTAAAGTTAAGCCTGTGACCAGAACTGAAAGGAAGGACTAGGAACAGAAAACTGCAGCAAGACTTAGCACAATTTATCTGAGAACAAAACAAACTTGTAAGAGCCTTAGTGGCTTGCCACCTAAGCACGGTATCCAATGAAGAAAGTGCCACTGGAGTTTCTTTGGGGTGCACTTGAACGACATGAAGGGCCCAACTCTCCTTTCTGTAGTATCGTCTCAAGCCGAACAACGAAGATCCTGTGGCAAACTTAGTCTCAGGTGTACATATCCCGGTCCCTGCCGTCCCAGAGAGCTGCCTGGTCCCGGTGGCGTGTGTCCTCTGTGATGGAAGTCACGTCCGCTGCTGCCCTTGAGAACAGCGAGGACTTTTACGTGTTTGGTTTTTTTGTCCTCCTGGGCCCGTGTGTGGAGATGTCTAAAGATAAACAGACATGACTGCGTGATACTTTCTGTGACAGGACTGCTTGGTCACCTTCCCTTCTTTTCTGTGACACTGTTGCAGCGGTCTCTCTGTGAAGTACCCAAGCTGCTGGCTTTCCACCAAAGAGTGCTTTACTGACAAGAATCTGTGAACACTGACCACGTTTACACAGTGTCACACGTTGGGTGTGACATTGGTACTTGGGTCACCTAAAACGTGCCAGAGAATTCAATGGAAGCTTTAGAAGACTCAGGAGCAGAAACCAGCTTCCGAGTCGGAGGATTAGCTTAAGTCCTTTTCATGTCACTTAGAACTGGAGGTTTGCAAGGCCAAGCGTTCTTGGGTTGCTCAGTCCTCCCCTGCGTGGGGGGCAGGGAAACCCCACTGTTGCTTTCACCTTGGCAACAGCAATCTCAAGTGATGCTGGCTTTCCAAACGCAGATGTCCACACTCCGGAGTGTCTTTCTCGGTAATGCTGTGCATTTCTGTTTCTTCATATGTGGTCAACCCAAGACCACTCACCTCTGATTTCAGTGGTTTTCGGTTGTGTGTAGTCGAGAGCTCACCGCTGCCTTTGGTTAGGGAACAAAATTAGTAACTTTGCTGAGTGCCTTCCCCCCAACCCTTCTGAAACGCAGCAGAGCCTGTGACCTAAAGCAATCGCAAAACCAGAACTTATCTGCTTCTTTAAAAGGAAAAAAATTCACGGTCCAGAATGAAGGCCTGTTTTGGAGTCACCTCGGTAACTGCCGTAGTAAGTAAGGGTTTTACTTCTTGGGAGCTGAGTTTTGTCCGTCCTAGTTTGGAGGGACACAGCGTTGAGACAGCAGACAGCAGATGCCTTCCTAAGACAGATGAATGTACCAGGTGAGCAGGTGATTCCTCTTCAGAAGCTGCCTGTTTCCCAGTTGGGATAAGCAGGTTAAAGTTCGTTAATGCAGAAAGTCACTGGGAGACAGTGGCGGTCCTGTTTGTGTTCCGCCCTCGGAGGAAAGGCTGGGATTGAGTGGGGATGAGGAAGTCAGGGTCACAGCCACACCAGTAGCTCTTTCCCCATCAGGCACAAGGGAGTGGGACGACGCCTGTGTTTACACACTGGGGACCACAGTGACTTTCTGTCCCTGGAAACACATCGGTATGGGGTCCGGGTGAGAGGAAGCACTTGCTGTGCTGTGCTGAGACAGTTTTAAATATTCAGACTGCGCCCGGGCACGCATGCCAAGTTCTCAGGGCAGCTCCCTCCCCGGGCACCACCGTGACTGACCCATGCGAGCCCCGCTTGGTCTTTTCCTTCCATCAGAACAGGCAGTCGTGCAGCCCACAGCGGTTCTGCCAAGTCCTGCCTCCCTGCTGCTGAGTAAGCCACTTGGGGTCTTTTCCAGAGGTTAAGACCCTTGGGCTTCAGTGGTCACCACAGTTTGTTTTTTTATTTATCAGTTGCTTTTCTGGTGTTGGCCGCTCAAGTGTCAGTCTAGAATCGCCATCCCTGGGGTCCCTGTCCTCAGCTCAGCGCAGTGAGTCACAGGGAACTTGTGACTTGGTGTAGACCAGTTCCTTGGCACTCTCAGATGGCTGGGGCAGTGTTCGGGGTGGATTGCGTGGCAACAGTGTTAGCTTAGCAGGACACCTAGACAGACTCCAGGAAGCCCGGGGGTCTGACTGACAGAAGGTTCTTTCTGCTGTGCATGGGGGCACTGCACCCAGCACCCCCAGAATCTTCTGGGGTTCTAACTTCTGATCCTAGTCACAGAAGACCGTGTTACTGTGGAGTACGAAGCAGGGTGTGTCAGATGGAGACTCATTTAACCAAAGAGCCTTAAATAGTGTTGAAAGTACGCCAAGACCACGTCCAGTGGGATTAAAATTAGAAACGAATAAGCTTTGTGGGGACCCAGATCCCCAAGGATCAGAGAGGGTCCAGAGGGGAGTGTGTGCCAACCTGGGCTCCTGGAAGTGTAGCCAGCGGGGCAGAGGGCTTGGTGAGCCGTGCCTCATTCAAGGCAGCCTTATCTTAACTTGTCCTCTGTGGCTGCTGCCCAGCCACACGCTGCTCTGCTTGTCCCCTCCCAGTTCCAGACTCGCTGCCCTTCACCCGCCTGCCCCTCTCCAGGGCTGCTTCTCCCTCCTGGCGAGTTCCCAGGCTTCTGGGCACCGTGTGCCAGGAGGTCCCCAAGGAGCCTTCTCTTTGTTCAGTTACCGTCCATGACAAGAGAGCGATGGGTTCGAAGTAGCCCGGCTGCTTTCCTTCACACACTGTCCCCAACGCTCGGTGCACTTTGGAAAGCAGTATTCACCCGGGCAACTTTCACTCCTTCAATGGCTCTCTCCCCCGGACGTGCCCTCGCGAGGCTGGCTGCCAGAATTCCCCTAAATCTAGCGTGCTGCGTGTCGTCGGGCGGGAATGCTGCAGGTGGGGTGCAAAAGTCGGGGCAGTTCGCCTCTGCTGTGCAGGAAATGACCGCCTCAGAACTGTCACCGGATCGGAGTACTGTGGTTTTATAGTAATAACCTGCAGACTTTTACCTAATGTGCACTCATGTACAGGTTATTAAAAGTTTTGAAATGTAGCTGATTAATCAGTATTTGATCAATCATTGTCTTTTTTTTTTAATTAAAATGTATATTTCTAATCATATTTTTTTAAAGCCGAGAGAACTGGTTGGATGTCTATTTTCCTGAAGGTATTTTTAAGACAAAAGCTTCACGATGGCCTGTAAACTTTTTGCATATCTGTGCGGTTTGACGTGTATTGTTCCATTGGAAAATACTGTGTATTGTAACTAGTTTTATACAAAACACTGCGTAGTGGAAACTGTGTAATTACAATCACGTAATTAAAAGTATTAATCAAACAAACTTTTAGTTTATTGCGTTCACTTTCCGAGTATCCTGAGTTCTTTAAATTAGTTTGCAAAGCCCGCCAGCGACAACGGACCACACAAAGTCCCCCAGTTCTGGATCGGTGTGGGTTCTCCTTGGCTGGCAGATGGGCACCTGCTCACCAGGCCCTCGCAGCCTCGCCTCTGCGCCTGCCCATCCCTGGTGTCTGTCCGTGCGTCCTAGTCTTAGAAGGACAGGGCACCAGCCAGATTGGGGTAGGGCCGCCCTCAGGCCTTTCTCACTCCAGGTGCAGTGAGATGCAGAGGATTAGGGCTTCAGCATTTGAATTTTGGGAACGTGGGAGAAAGACTTAGTGAGTGGGGATCTGCTGCTATGAAGTCACTCCACAAACACCCCCCACCGGCTCAGATGCTGCAAAGGCTTAACCTTCTGGAGAGCCCGAGGCCTGTGGGTCACGGATCCCTCAGGAGGACCGGTGGTAGCGCCCTCCACCACATCACGCCTAGGACGCCAGCCTCTGCGCTCTTTTCTGCTTCCCTCCTGATGGCCTTTTGCAGGGCAGGGTCCTAAGTCCCAGTGCCACCACCCCACAGAGGCTGTGTCTAGGACTGAGGACCTGAGGACTGTCCAGTTCCCAAGGAGCTGGATTTTGCTTCATGCTGGGAGAGGTAAACGCCGCAGAAACCTGCCTTCCCACCGCTGTCCCACGTGGCTCCCCAGCCTGGGAGCTGCCCGCTCGGGCCACCCCGGGGCTGTGCCGAGCAACACGCTCTCCGGTGGACCTGCCGACAGGCTCAGGCACTCGGTTTCAGCCTGGAGGCCCACTGTCCACGCCCATTTAGTTGTGCAGAGCCAATTATTAAATGAGAATTAAATTCCTACCTTAGCAGTTAGTTGAAGAATTAAATAATACATGCATAGGCGGCAGTCAGTTCTTTTGTCACGCGTTTTGGCTAAGTGTAAAGCCTGATTTGAATAGATCGCAGTCCCTCGGTGCTTCTGCTACGGGAGCCTATGCTCCTTCAGAAAAGGTGATGTGATCTTGACTTTGAAGGTGGAAACCCGTCCACTGAGGGTGCTGATGGGTAGAAAAGACCCCTTCGTGAGCCCCGGCAGTAACAACTTGAGATGGCAAGTCCAGATGAGCTGCGTCCCTGTGGCCTTCAGGATCCTGCTGTTGGTCCATCGTTAAAAGTGGGCTGCTGACCACCGAGGACTGTGACACCAACTCGGGTGCCCGTGGCGGGAGCTCTGCACACGTCCTTGCTGCCTGCGTACCTACCATTCTCTGCCTCCCCCGTGTGAGCGCCCAGTTCCAGGCTCATGATGTCAACGGTTTGTTGGGGGAGAGAGCGGAAGCCCGCTCCAATCCCCGGCTCCCTCCCTGGGGACGCTGGCCCCTGTGGCAGTGGAGGTCTTTCGTGGCATACCAGCCACCTTGCCTTGTGTCTAACTGTGGTCGTGTCTTTGCCAGCAAGTGTGCGAGGTCCTGACACGCTCCAGGATGCCAGGTGCGCCGTCTACGCTGAAGCCCTCAGGTAAGGAGGCTGCGGGTGGGAAAAGAGCCAGGAGAGGAGGCGGTGTGGTTTGTGTGCCGCTTGCTTTGCAGAAGGCCATTGGTTTGTCCCCGGTGCCTGGGAACCAAGACGCCCGCTCAGGCAGGCAGGATGACCGTCCCCGGCGTGGGACTTCCCAGAGGACGCAGCGGGTCTGGCAGAGCTGGCACCCCGCACCCACTCAGTGCCGCTCATGTCCCCAGCCACCCACAGGCGCCTCCCCCCTGTGAACAGCCAACGTGAGGGAGCCCCACTGTCCCCACTCGGGAACTGCTGACTGGGCACCGTGACAGCTGCTGTAGGTACTCTGGGGACCTGCGGGAGTGAAGGAAGACTGGTTCCCTGTGGCAGAGGAAGGTGCCACAGGGACAGTGCAGACGTGGGCTTGCCCTGAAGTAGGGCTCATGAGTCACTAAGAGACGGGGACCCCTGAGGCTCCAGGGCAGGCAAGCATGTGCCCCTGGTGGAAAAGCCATAGAGACCTTGTCCCCGTCCCTGGGAGGGGTCTGTGTGACCCCGCTGGAGGGCACATGGGGTACTGGAGGTAGGCCTGGATTCACAGGTCCTTTTAGTAGCGGGTGAGTGTCCCGTTGTGGGGCAGGACACATGGGGACAGGAGGTTGGTGACCACCCTGACCCGCTTCCCTTTTCTATGGCGCTGGGGCTTGAACTCAGAGCCTCCACCGTGAGCCACTCCACCGGCCTTCTTTTTGTGTTGAGTATCTTTGAGACGGGGTCTCGAACTCTTTGCCCTGGCCGGATTCGAACTGCGATCCTCCTGATCTCTGCCTCCTGAGTTGCTAGGATTACAGGAGTGAGCCACTGCCCACTGGGCTCTGGCCCAGTGTAGCTGCCTCCTTGCCAGGTGCACAGTGACTCCCAGAGATGGCGCTGGTGGCCGCACACCTACCAGGTTCTCGCCTCCCTCTGCCAGCGATGGGCGGCTGTTGCGGGCTGTGACCGCCCAGGCTCGGGCTCCGCGGGGCCTAGACCTGGACGCACGTGCAGCCTCCCCGAGGTGGCGTGGTGGCGTGATCAGGCTGGGGGAAGGGCCAGGGTGACAGCCTCCCGGGTGGCGGTTCAGTCCCAAAACCACTAGAGCTGTGCTTCTCGAACCCTCTCAGTTAGGAGCCCTGACGCTGATGGACATCCTCCACCCCCCAGGTCACGGCGGGCCGGACGACGGGCCTCCCTGGCTGTGTGGCATCTGCTCACCTGTGGTCCCGAGGGCCCCTCTGCCTTCTAGGGATCCTTGGCAACTGGTCACTATGTCCACCTCCCTCAGAGGCCACCGGGCGTCCATTTCTGCTGCCTTCACCTCCTTCCCGGCACTCTCCTGGGGCTGGGCTGTGAGCAGCGTGGGTGCACGGGTGCCCCAGAGGCTGGTGGGGTGGATGTCGCTCCATTCCCGCGACAGGCGTCGCCCGCTTCCGGATGCCCCACAGTGATGTGGCCAGCCTCGGAACAGGGCAGAGAAACGGGTTAAGGGGCAGCTGACTCTGCTCTGGGGACCGGGACCCCACTCCTGGCCACTCCCGCGGTGTCTCTGTGCTGGGCGCAAAAGCCGTTGTCCCTGATCAGGGACATTGCTGTCACTGGGTCCTGGCGTCCTCTTTCCTGGAGCAGCGGGAGGGATCAGCGCAAAGGCTGCCAGAGCCTCCAGGCCCTTAGCTGTGCGGTCGCCTCCGAGGCTCCTCCAGGCCGTGCTGGTGACCTGGGGCCTCACCTCTGGGTCTCTCAAGTCCTGCCGCCAGTATCTGTGCCAGAGGCCTAGCGGAGTGCCACCGCCGCATCTGGCTCCCCTCCTGTCTGCGAAGAGGACACGGGAGGGTGGGTGTGGTGCCACTGCTGCCCTGGGGTCTGTGTCAGTCACCACGGCCCTCAAGATTCACTGAGAGCACACAGTCAAGTGGTCCCTTTGGTCCCCTTTCTGCACGTCTGACGTGAAGTTGCACCGGGGTTCCGGAAGAAACCTTACTCTGCTTCCTCTTCCTCCCACTGCTGCCTGGTGGCTGTCACGGGCTGTCACCTGACCTGTGAACGATGGGGTGGTTACCCGAGGGTGCTGGGCCCCGAGGTAACCTGGCCCTGCCGCAGGTGCAGGGGAGGTGGCCGCTAGGAGGAGGGCGTCCTTCAGCCCTCAAAGACGTCCTTGTCCAGGGTGTCACCGTACTGTGGCAGAACCCAGCACAGAAAGGGCTGAGGGACTGCCTCAAGGGGTGGCATGCCTGCCTAGCAAGCGCAAGGCCCCGAGTTCAAACCTCAGTATCACCAAAACAAAACAAAACGTTACTCCTGCAGAGGTGGCAGCTGGCTGCAGTGAGCGCGGGTCCTCGGGGGCAGGTGGCCCAGGAGAGGGCACTTCTGTTCTTTTCTAGCCCCGGACACCCAGGTCCAGCTGCCCGGTAGGACTTGCCAAAGCCACCCTCCCCATGAAATCCCCATTTGCACTGCGATGGCAGGGCGGGCATGGGTGACCTCAGGCCAGACCCACCGGCAAGAGGGTGTCGCTGGGGAAGAAACCGCAATGTCAGCCAGACCAGGTTCAGACCAGCTGACCTTCCAGCCTCAGCAGGGCCTCCCAGATGTGCGTCAGCTTTCCACTGTCACAGCAGGACCCGTCCCGCTCGCTCCCATTGTCGTGTGGACACGGCCTAGGCCAGACCGGAGGACCTCAGCCCCAGCTCCGCCTGCAGCTGCTGCCCTGGCCCCGAGATGAGGCCCAGCAGAGGAAGTGAGACCTGCCCGACCTCCACCTCCCCAAAGAGCTCGGGTCAGGGTGCTTGGTTTTAAGTCGTCAGCCAGAAACCCAAACCTGGTGCCGCGATGCCCCGTCCGGCCCTCAGGGGACCCGGGAGGTCCTGCCCTGGGTGCAGGTCCACGCCCCCAGCTCCTCTGCCTCTGCACTGGCTTCTTTGCTGCCACTCAGGCTGCAGACAACTGAGCGCAATCCCAGAGAGGGCAAAACAGAAACGAAGTCATTTGCCCCACCAAATCAGCCAGGTGGCCCGCGATCCAAGCTCATTCCAGAAAGTGCCATGTCCCGCTGTTCGTGACTACAGATGGTGTTGTGGGACTGTCGGGGTGTGGGGAGAGAAGCGGAGTGACATTAGGCCAGTGCTGTGAGCTTTTCCAGGGTCACTTGGAACCTGAGAGGGAACCCCTTACAAGGGATCTGTTTTGCCACTCTTCAGGGAAAAGCAGAGTGACTTAATGACGGAGCACACGGAGCAGCGGCTGAGGACTGACACAGGCTGTGTCGTCTCCAAAGAAAAGGGAAAAATGAGCAGTTAAAATGACTCGGCACTCATGCGCTTTAGTAAGGACAGCAAAAGCACACTGCTGCCCAAAGCAAACACCACTCACAAGCCATGCCTCCTGTCCACTGTGGCGCGGCTGTGACCAAAATGACGGTCTCTGCACACAGTTCCGAGGGAATGCCACTTTTATTTGCACGTGGGTTTCGGCTCAGAGCCGTCTCAGCGCAGCCAAGTGGGAGCAGCACAGGTCCTGGGACTGAGGTGCCAGTGCCACCACACGCGCGACAGGCCAGTCACATCTCTTCAGAAGAGTGGAGCCTCACCCCACTCCCCACTGTCACAGCTGCCCCTGCTGCCTCCTCCTGGCACTCTTCCTCAGACACCGCGGGCTCTGTGGGGCAGCTCGGGCGAGTGGCTGGGCCACACTTCCGGCACAGGCAGAGCAGCGCGGGAGCTGGGTGAGGCCCGAGCGAGAAGCCTGCACACGGTGCTCAATAAATGTGCATGACTGACTTACAGGTGTGCCTGGGACAGAGTGCCTCTGTACACGGCTGCTGAACTGTGACCACGTGTGACTAATAAAAGGATATGCTTTTCATTTGGTGAATTAAATAACACAATTTTTAAATCATATACTTAATATTCATCCTGAAAGCCACCCAAACACTAAATCTGCACGTATGTATGCGAAGTGAGTGTGTGCGCACACACAGAAACCACGAGGTAGTTTAAGTCACCATTAAGAACCAAGACTTGGACTTGTTTGTCACAGAGTGGTGATCACTGGCTGCACAACAGATTTAAAATTAGTGGCTGAATGAAAGCAGAACTCAGGAAACTTGAGTCTAACATTTACAGGTCTCTGAAAATTAGGCTGGGCCAGCTTTAAGTTACTAGTTCAAGTTCCGCGTGCTTCCTGTGACACTAGGACTTACGTGTGCAGCTGCCTGCCTTGTGTCCGTGGGCTATATTTTACAGCAGTCTACTCCATGCTTTGGTGGAGGGTCAGTACATATGTACACACTTTAAACGGGATTCCTGGACTCCATCTGGGGTGCTCTGAAGCACCTGGAGAGACCCCGCCACCCCACACCTCAGGCCAAAAAAGTGCACGGAATCCACAGGCCCGGGAAAAGCAACATCTACTGTTCTTAGAGTGCGCCTCTCTCCCCACGCAAGGGAAGTCTCTTAGAGGTTCGCCAGCGCCGCTCCGTGTTGCCGGGACAACAGCTCTTCAGGCCAGAGCAGGGAAGTCTTCAGGGTCATCCGGGTTGGGGGCGACGTCCCGTGTCTAGGGAAGAAAAGAAAGGTCTGAAACTGCCTGCTATCCACGCACCCCGATGAGGCCAGCACCAGGCGGCCCATGGTGACACGGGTGGCCACGCTCACCAGGGAGGCCTGAGGGGAGACAGGCCCACAGTGCAAGGAGGGTTTGCAGGTGACCATGAGGGCAGGCAAGGCTCTGAGCGGAAGCCGGGTCGCCCGCTGCTGCCTCTGCTCCCTTTGTCCCTCAGAATGGCTGAGGGCCCTCGCGCCTGGCCCAGCTTTCTCCCATGAACTCACTGCTCGCCACGTGCCAGGCCCCGAGTAGGGCGAATTCAGATAGTGCCTGCTCTCAGGAGCAAAGACTGAGGGCAAGTGGTGACTGGCCACCCACAACAAGGACAGCCAATGTAACGGAGGCCGGCGAGGCGCTCTGGAGAGAGTTCTCCTGAGGCGGGCCTCGGCGGGTGAGTAAAGGGAACGGAACGGCTGTGGCAGCTGGGGCCTGAGGGGGAGGGAGAGGCAGGGCCCGGAGCGATTCTGAGCTGGAGCAGCCAGGTCACCCGGCTGTCTGGACACTCCACACCGAGTACTGCAGATGGCTGGGGAGCTGCTCTTTGAAAGGAATATATAAATGTATATATTTACACACATTCTGTTTCCAGAATGGATCTTTTTTTTTTTTTACACCTGGCCTCAGTGAACCAGGAAAAAAAAAGTTGTTTTTGCGCTGACTTAAGTGAAATCATGCTGTGGGGCCCTTTCCTCCACGCGCTGCTCCAAGCACGGGGGAATCAGGCAGCAAGGGAACATTTCTGTGACCAGCCACAGAGAAGGGACTCAGGTCCCCTCCTGCCCGGCCCCAGATCACAAGGCCACATATGTTGGCTGAGGATGGCTACAGAACTTGAGCCAGACACCCAGCCTGTGTGCGTTCTCACGTTTGCTCATAGGACGCTTACGGAGCCTCACAACCCCACAGCAAACTAAGCACAAGCTTGGCCCTGGGGCTCTGTCACTAGAGAGAGAACAGATGCCCATCAGAAGCACACCAGTGACACACAACTGCTCAGAGACCCTGACCGGAAACTCCTCGGGCAGTGGAAGACTTGTGGGTAAGGATGTGCTGTGGACCTTCAGGCCAGTGCTGGCAGAGCAGGCAAAGGCAGCACAGGCAAGGAGAGCTGGGTAGGGGTGGGGACGAAGCTGGAGCGGGAGTCGTGTGTGCCCTGACAGCACGGCACTGCCAGGACATGGTTCCTGAGCAGCTGTCAGGTGGTCTGACTCCAGCTCAAGCCTGGGGATCTCTACCCACGCAGATTCGGAGTAAGTTTTTCTCCGGTTCACAACAGGCAGTGGGTCTCCCGGCTGCAGAAGGGTCTGTACCTGACTGATGGCCCAGAATCAGACACACTGGCTGGAGGAGGCAAGAGCTGCAGAGCCTGACGCTCCTCCCACGTTACATCAGGGGAGGCCGGCATAGCCCAGGGCCCTCGCTCAGCAGCCCGTCCCAAATTTCCAACACAACTACTCACCACCACTTCTGCTCTGGGTCCGTAGTTCTCTGCCCTTCTGATCCTTCCCCGGCCTCCCCGGGTGCCACCTCTGGCTCCACGTCCAGGACGAGGGAGGTTACCAAAATTAATCTCCAACTGGGATGTGATGTCATTGGCGGCTTTCCGGAAGACATGGGACTCATCCTCATAACCGTCCTTTACCATCTGAAACAGAGTTGCAGCATCCAGCTCAGTGTCCTGGGAGTAAGATCCCCAGTGTGGCACAAGGAGGCCTGAACGCCACCACACTGCCAAGAGTGGACCGGGAAGTGCGTTTCACAGCCACAAGCCCTCCTAATCTCCGTCCTGATGTAAGCATCTTTGGACTATTTTTCAAGTGAGAGCAAATTTCCGTCAGTTTTGTAGGCTAAAGATGTAAGATCTGACTTGACTAACAGCAAAACCAATGTCTTGAGTATATTGTCCTGAGAGAAAAATATTTTCCTTTCTGCCTGTCCTCTGTCTCATTTCTCGGTAAATGTTAACTTTGATAAATAAGGAAATATCGCCTTGCAGGGAAGAACCCTGGAAGTGTGGGCACGGACATGTTGGGGAGTGCGCGACTTGCACCCGTGACCCTGACTCTGGTGTTTGGAAATGAGCAGCAGAGGAGGCCACCTGAGCACCACTACCGTGCTGCACACCCGAAGCTGCCTGGGGAGCTGCGATACGAATTCTTTTCACTGTAAGAGTCCAAGGGAGCTCCACCTCTTAGTAAAGGGAAATAACAAATAAACCTCATCAAAAGTGATCTGGCTTCAATTCACCATCATGGGCAAACCTTACAAGAAATCTAAGCCTTCAGCAGAGAAAGCAGGGCAGGGATCTCAGGTGAAGGTCTCATGGTGCCACAGCGTCAGACATGCCTACAGCTCTGCCCAGAAGATGGAATAAAATTCCTTCACAGGTTCCCTTAACATGTGTCTCCTTCAACGTTTCACACAAAACAAAGCAGAGGTTTTGGGCAGATGGCCCCTTGAGGCTGAAAAGGAGAAGGAGAGAAGTCACAAGCCATAAAATAAGATGAAACAGGCTACCAGCGCACAGCAAGGAAGCCACATGGGCCACCAAAGGCCCAGCTTCCACTCTCAGCTGTCTGGCCCCCGGCCAAGGTGCTCGTTTCACAGTTGCTCCAGGTTCCACACGTAAGGATAACTTTCCATGGCTGCTTTGCTTCTCAAGGGTGCCTAGCACGCAGTAAACTAACGGCCCCGTTATAAGGTCTGTGTCGCTTTAAGAACAATCCCTGGCTGAAATCTGCAGTGCGGTAAGATTAATGAGACCAAACACAGGCTTTACCGAGACCGGGCTGGGTGACTCAGCTAACCCAGCTGCCTCCATGCTCTAGCAAATCTGGAGCCAGGAGGACAGATCTATTTTTACCTGACATGTCAGCTGTGTGTGTCATAGCCTGACAGCACAGTTGTTTTAAAGTTTTAGTCGCAATGCCCAGAACAAAAAGGAACCATGAAAGTGGACCAACAGCCAACACCATTAGCTAATGGGCTTGTGAAAGCCTCGCAGAGATCCTAGCTGGAGAAGGAGACTCTGGTCTGCATTCATTTCTGGTGCAGCATCTCAAAACTCAGCAGGCAGGCCTCCTAAACCCTGGACTGACCGGAACAGGAGGCAAGGGGGCAGTGCTCAAAGACAGTGCTCAAACATCCCCACCCAAAGTGTCCGTGGGGTCTGTGATGGTTGGGATCGTAACTGCCCCTTAAAGGCCCCTATGCTAAAGGCTTGGTTGCCAGCCTGTGGCATGCTGAGAGGTGGTGGGGCCTGGTGGAGGGAAGTTAAGTCACTTGGGGTGTGCCCTTGAAAGGTATTGGAGCCCTGGCTTCCTGTCTGTTTCTTTCCCTGCCACCATGAGGTGAGCAGTTTGTTCTGTCATACACTCCCCCTGTGAGGTACTGTGCTGTCACAGACCCAAAGCCACCGGGTTAAGCAAACATGTGCTGAAGCCTCTGAAACTGTGAGCCAAAATAAGCCTTTTGCCCTTCGAAGTTGTTCATCTGAGTATTCTGTCACAGCAGCAGGAAGGTAATGAAGGAAACGCACAAACCTACATGGTATTCTGAGCATCCAACCAAACCCAATGAGTGACATCCAGCAGAGTTCACTCATTGCCACTGCCCACAGCGATCGAAGGACACAAATTCTAAATTCTATGACTGCAACGCTCCAGTGCAACCCTCAGTTCAGTAACTTGAAGAGCACGTGATTAAACGACCCGAAGCTCAGTCTTTTTTCTTTCTTTTTTTTTTGTGGGACGGGGTTTGAACTTAGGACTTTGCTCTTGCAAAGCAGGTGCTTTAACACTTAAGCCACACCTCCAGTCCACAAACCATTTGCCCAGGAGAGCCTCGAACGACAATCCTCCTGATCTGAGCCTCCCAAGGGTGAGGCACCAGTGCGTGACCCAACGGTCACTCTTACCAACAAGGGGAGAGGTTTTCCGAGACATGTCCCTTTAGAACTTGAGGCATCTGAGAGAAAGCTGCCGTGAACCGTGCAGGCAAGCTCCCAGCACGCGGCCTGTTGTAGCGCAGTGCTCCGTGCTGCCGCACCCCTCAGGAAGCCTGGTTAGGCAGAGGAGAAAGCTCCTGGGGCACGGAACACAGGCCCAGCTAGAGTTTGGGATAATCAATCAATCCCAGTGCTAACAAGAATTAGGGACAGGGTCTGGGGGCATGGTTCACGCAACAGAGTGCCTGCCTAGTGGGTGCAAAGCTCTGAATTCAAACCCTAGTACTGCCAAAAAATAAACCCAAAAATCCACTGGGTTGAATCCGGAGAAGAATTAGAGGCACTGGGATGCCGCTCAGTGGCCAGTCCCCAGCACAATGACAGCGCTACTGCAGAAGGCGGCGCCATCACAACATTGCAGAGCAGCCGTCATGTGAAATGGCAGCGTGCGGTGCCTCTCACCTAGAGGCACAAATGAACTACAGTGAGCGTCGGCACGGCCCCGGCGAGCACGTACACACTGTCCTCACGCCACGCTCGATTCCTGCTTGTCACCCGTGAATGCTCTTAACAGCGGTGCTCCGCTCTGAAGACAACTGGAAGGTCTGCTGTCCACAGTAAGGTGACAGCACAGTTGTCGCCGACAGGAAATGGAATGCTTACGTCATCTCTGTATTTCGACTTGTGAATCACCACCGCTTTGGAAGGAACAGAGGACTCTGGCTTCCGGATGTTAAACTCGGGCTTTGGTCGGGTCTGTTCTTGGAGATTTTTCCACTCATCTAAGGTCATTTCTTGAACTTGAGTTTCCTCTTCTACCTCCAACTCGGGAACTCTATAAAGATGGATAAGCATAAAAAGGTGCTGATGGCACTGAAATGTCCACTTTATCAAAGAAAAAGCTGTCACCATTAGCTTAACATATTTTGTGCACTGAGGAAACCTCTGACTCATAGCGTCCTGTACTTTATTTTCATCGCTGTATGCCGTCATTGCCAACACAAGAGACTTCCTGTGTTCAAAGCAGTCTATGAAAGACGGGACGCCAACACCCAGGGCCACCACCCAACCAGATGGCATTGCTGACACAATGAGGTAATTGTGGGAGAAAATGAGAGAAGCTATGGAAACAAATAGGAAGCCACGCACGGGAGTTTTAAAACAGTGCATTACAGACGCACATTTTGTAAATGCCTTCTTTAAGTTAATGAGTTTTAAGAAGAAGCCTTAAGCATTGGTTTAGCCTCTCCCCAGGCCCACGCCCCCACCCCCTTCCTTGTTTTGCCTGGCCTTGTTTTATGGTTGAGTTTATTGGATCCCTGTTTCTTGCAAGCCTCGCTTAGGTGGCTCATGTGTTGAATGATAGGTTTTTGTGCGTGTTTCCTCCATACCAAAGGGTTTCCTAACCTACCTTGGAAGCCTATGAACGTTACCAATGTTTTATTGTCCTCTTGGACTCCCGGTTTTGAATGTGGTATTTTTACTAACTTGTTTACCTTTTTTGCAGTGCTGTGGACTGAACAAAGGACCTCATACATGCTAGGCAAGTGCTCCACCATTCACTTACATCCCAGCCATGTGATCACTCGAATCCTGGCGACACATTTAAGCCCCAGGGTAATTTGCAAAGAAATACTTTTTCCTGCTGACTTTTTATATCCACTGCCATTATCAAGAAGCAGAAAGTGACATCACTAACGACTCTGAGGGCATCACAAAGCAAACAGCCAAGAGGTGTGACCAGATTAGATGAAGTAGACAATTTCTTAAGACACAATGTATCAGAGCTCATTTAAGAAGAAACAGAATAGCACTCTACCTGCTAAAGAAACTGAGTTTATGGCAAAAAGCAAAACCCGAACCTTCCTGTAAAGAAAACTTCAGATGGCTTTACTACTGGATCCCAGCAAACACTAAGGAAAACCAATACAAATTCCATCAGAAAAGAAAAGTTTGGAACATTCTGAACTCCTTGTGGGAGGCCAGTATTAACAGACAGATCAAAAAGAGACATTTCTGAAAAATGCAGACCCTGAGCTGCCTGAACATAAATATAAAACCTTTCGACAAAATCAGGTAAACCAGCCAATAAAACATGAGAAGCAGACTGTATCAAGACCAATTACAGTTAATCGCAACAATATACATTGACTTAACACTCAGAATATTTCACTGAAAACCAGGTGCGGTAGTGTACACCTATAGTCCCAGCTAGTCAGGAAAATAGGCAAGAGGATCGCTTGAGCCCCAGGAATTCATGGTCAGCCTGGGCACACAGAGAGACAGAATTCTAAGTCCCAAATGAAACTCTCACATTTTTGGTCAATTCAAAGTAGAAAGAAAACTCTTTTCAAAAAGTGACACTGTTGGGCCTCTAGCTCCCCCCGTTTAGTCCTCAGGGATGCTTTACTGTCATCAGTCATTAGGGAAGTGCAAACTAAAACTGCAATGCGAAATGCACCTATTCAAATGACTACGAGTTATGCAAACTCACTATCACACAGTGGCAAGGATGCAGAAGTCTCAGTGCTGCTGGGAAAACAGCAATAGTACAACTCTGGAAAATAATTTGGCAGTTTCTTACGAAAAATTAAATATCTAGTCCACTCCTAGATTTATCCAGAAGATATGGAAGTGTATGATCACACGACTTGTCCACAAAAATGTTTGTAAGCAGCTTTTAAAGCAAAAACTGGAAACACAAAGGAGCACCACCAGGCAAACGATCTGCACGATGGAGTATCACTCAGCAGTAAAAAGAAATGGACTATTAAGATGCACAGTGACCCAGAGGAGTCTCAAGATCAGCGCTCAGTGAAAGAACAAGGACGTGAAGGAGTGTGTGCCATACAACACGGCTGCAAACCAGTCTCGGGGCAGAAGGAAGAGCAGTGGGGCAAGGGGCAGGAGAGGCTGGGGAGGCAGATTGCTCGTTAGTTATTTGATAGTGGTAATGGTCTCCAGTGCACACATGGAGCACAGCTTGTAGTGCCGTCCACATTAATTATGTGCCATTTGTTGGATGTGAATTATATCTCAGCTGTTTTTAAAGAAGAGGCATGGCTCAAGCAGTAAAGCACCAGCCTACCAAGGGTGAGGCCTTAAATTCATACTCTAGAACTGCCAAGAAAATAGACAAGAGAGAGAGAGAGATAAGAGAGAGAGGGAGGAGAGAAGCCAACTCAGACAGCAAATTTCCATGGGGCAAATCTTTCCATGTGAAGATGGAAGTGGGCCTGAGAAGTAAAAGATCACTAACCAGATGCCTGACTTGTAGGAAAATTCAATACACAAAAATTGGGCTGGTGGAGTGGTAGACTGCCTGCCTAGTAAGTGTGAGGCCCTGAGTGCAAACTATAGTACCTTCAAAATACCCCACAAAATCTTCACTGATACACAGACATGCCTGGAAACAAGTACAATCAAAATGATTCATGGCAGGTTCCTCAACCTTCCATAAAGCACTTTTATCTCATTTTTATGTCAGTCTTACTTCAAATTCTGCACATACTAGCTAGGCAACTGTAAGGTTATTTAACCCTACACTTCTGTGTGAGAAAGACAACAGCATGCCTTCTTCCCTTCCTTCTCGTTCCCAGAGGTCAGGGAGGTGACACATAGGCTCTGTATTGAGCCCATCACAGCTCCCAGGAAATGCTTCATAAATGAATGTTAGATTTATCCTTAAAGTACTAGCTGTGACAGGTATCCTCACACATTACACGTGACAAGAACATTTCATACTTCTGTAGTGAAGCAAGGGACAAAGGGAGGGAATAGCACACAATTGTCAGTCAAAGGGGTCACATTTGAAGAAAACATGTTTTGGGTTGTACACTTAACGTTAAGTGAGGGTGCATGAAATTCATCCATGGAGAGGTTCGAAACCTGACACATACACTGCGTGTACGTTTTGCCAAATGCTAAAGCGTCTGGGTGTTAAATCTCTATTCAGTCAAAGCCAAGGTCACAGAGCATCACCGTCTTTGAATGTGACTCTGCAGCTCTGTGGATGCGTCAGTGGAGCAGGGCTGCTCACGCTGCCCGGACGCGGCTCCCAGGAGCGTCATTTTCCTTCAGAGTCGCATCTCAGCATTCTGCAGGCTGCGGTGGTGCTGACCGCCTGTCACTCTAACTTCTATCATCTGAATACACGCACATGTCCAGTGGGTCAAGAAGAATATAGCGTTCTCCCAACAGCATCTACTTAGCACACGTTCCCAACAGTCACATGAGCTGCTGACTGCTTCTTTAGTGAACTCCCTGCCTAAGAGATCAGACTGACTGTCAGTCCTGTTTCTTTCAACCCATTTATACTTGTTTTGAATGGTGAATTAATAGCTTTCACAGTCATCAATCAATGTGGCATTTTTTACTCTTGCAGTAAGTCACAGTGACAACAGCAGATACCATATAGCACTAACTGCGTGCCAGGCATATGCTAGCTCAGTCAGTCTCTGTCTCTCCTGTCTCCCTGTCTCTGTGTGTTTCTCTGCCTGTCTCTTTCTCTCCTCACAACAACCCTATGACCAAAGACCACCTTACTCCTCCTGTAGTTGAAGAAAACTGAGCCACTGAAATAGAAAGATCCACGGCCTGCAGAGTCGCACTCAGCACACGGGCGCAGAGCAGCCTCTGGCAGCTGAGGACGAGTAAGGGTGCTGACAGCTGAAGGGTGAAGAGGTTTACTGGGCACAGCACAGAAAACCAGGGAACACTTTTGAAAGCCGTAGGAGATGCGAGGCACAGGCAGGACAAAGGCATGCTTGAAACACGAGAAGGCACGAGGAGAGTGGCTGACCTTGAGGGTCCTCAGAGCAGACCACACAGTACTGTGTAGGCCGGGCCAGATACAGAACAAGAGCAGGAAACCTCTAAGGGTGCGTCTTTGTGTGTGTGTGGTACTGGGGCTTGAACTCCAGGCCCTCGTGCTTGTGAGGCAAGCACTCTGCGTCTCCCATTTTTCCAGGAGCTGGCCTTGGACCACAGTCCTCCTTCCTACTGCCTCACATGCAGTAGGTGTGAACCATCATGCCCAGTCTATTTGAGATGGGGTCTCTCTAACTTTTCACCAAGACTGGCCCTGAACTGTGATCCTCCCAATCTCCACTTCTGAAGTAGCTGAGATTATAGGCGTAAGCCACAGCACCAGGCACTCAGTGAGGGGTTTTAAGTGAGGAGGAGAAGCATGACAATCAGAATGCCAGTGTGAAAGCTACTCTGGTGTAAAGGTGAGAATGCAGGGAGCCACAGGAGGAGCTACAGTGACATCAAGGTGACAATAACTTAGACTGTGCTGGTGAGTGGAGATGGTAGGTAGTTGGAGGGAAAAATCACCAGGGCAGAGTGAAGGACTGGACTTGGGGAAGGAGGGGTCAAGAAGGAGGACAGTCCAGGGATGAGTCCTAAGCTTCTAGTCTGCAAATGGGATGGCTTGTGACACTATTCCACAGATGCGGACACCTCATGAGGCCCAGGTATAGTCCTGGGCCTGCTAAACAGGAACATTTAGGATTTCAGGGGAGGGAGGTGTCCAGGAGGCAGAGGATGGAACCAGAGATGTATATTCTGGAGTCATACACGATCACTGAGGTCACAAGCATCTAAGATTCCAGAAAGAAATGCCAGAGAAGAAGCAGCCTAGGTGAAGCTCTGAGCAACACGACATTTTAGAAACCAAAAAGACAAGGGCAGACCTGCAAGACCACCAAGGGTATGGTGACCAAAGAAACCAGGGAGAGAGAGTTTCAGAAACCAACAACGTCAAATTCTTCTGTGAGCCAGGACAGACTCACACTGCAGAAGGGTGGTGAGGACAGCTTGGAGGGGAGTGAGGAGCAAGTGGTGGCGGGGTGGGGGGTGAAGAAAATACACACAACTCAGAAAAGGAAAAGGTAGGGTTAAGAGAAAATTTAAAACATGAGAGTGACCGTACTTAAAATGCTGATTACGGGAGCAGAGCTGGGAGGAAGGTCACAAATGCATCAGAGGGTGAAGCAGACCGCAGGGCAAGGACCCCATGGAGTCAGGGGCAGAGGAGCCAAAGCTGAAGAGCGAGAAGAGAGGTACTGCCTCTGTTTTACACCAGGGAGGGAGGCTAGGAGTATGGAGCCATTGACAGTTTGCACTTTTGAGACTGCTCGCTCCTAATTTCTCTATGACACAGAAAGAGCAGGTGAGGGGGGATTTGGGAGGCACAGTGTCAGGGCTCTGAGGAGGCAAGCTGAAACAGACACTGTGGAAGGCAGGAGAAAGTGAATCCAGGAAAGAACTGCTCATGTCAGTGGCAGTGATCAAGACTTCACAGAGGCTCCCGTACGCCACGCTCAGCTGTGGGTGCAGAGAGAATACCAACATCAGGATGGGTTATAGCGAGGTACAAGCCAGGGGCCAAAGCGGCCAGCCTGCTTGAGGTGATCAAGCCCCTAAGCTACGTGAAGATGAGACAGAGAAGAATGATAGGGATGGGAGTGACACTAGGCACAGGAAAGGACTTGAACAGCTGACAGAAAAGGTTGTGGACAATGGTGGATACTTGAATGTAACCCACTAGCTACCATTAACAATCATTCGTGATATTACTTTAACTAATTAATTAGTGTGATATTAGTCATTAATACATTAGCAAGATCAGCCCTCTGTGACATGCAAAAGGGCTAAGCTCTCAGAAGTCACTAGGAAACGCCCCACAAGCCAGTGGGAAAATGAATGGAGTGTTTGAAATGCCCTACTTGGCTGAAGATTCCTCGTCCAGGGCGCCCTGGGAATCCTCCGCCAGCAAGGTCTCCTCCACCAGGGCAGTCGGTTCCGTGTCACTGAAAAACAGAGGCTCTCCAGTCACACAAATGTGCTTACGGCAGTGCTCTACAATCACTAAGATCAAGAAAATACATCCTAATGTCCTATTTCTTTCTGCGGTGCTGAGGTTTGAACTCAGCACCTTGTTTGCTAGGCAAGCGCTCTACCACTCCAATCACTCCACCAGCCCTTTTTTGTGATGGATTCTTTTTGAGACAGGGTCTCACAAACTATTTGCCGGGGCTGGCTTCGAACCACGATCCACCTGATCTCTGCCTCCTGAGTAGCTAGGCCTACAGGCATGAGCCACCGGCGCCCGGCAAGGTACGTTACTTTTAAAAGTATGTTATCCAAGTAAAAATAAAATAAAATTAAACGATTATCACTGACATCCTATGGAGTCCCAGACTGAGAAACACTCAACAAGTTTCTCTTAAGGACACCACAGGAGAGAACAGCAGCAAAGCTAATGTGACAGTTGGATATATCTTATATGTTTGTTGCTTAGACAGAGATTTAAGAAAAATAAGTTCTGCCAGGTGTAGTGCACACCTGTAATCCCAGCACTGGAGAGGCAGAAGCAGTAGGATCACAAGTTGGCTAGCCTGGGTTGTACAAGACCATGTCTCAGAAACAAAACAACCAAAAAAAGAAAAGCAAGTTCCTATAAAAAGCTTGTATCCTTCAAAAGAAAAGTGGAGGTTTACATCCTGTCAAGCTTCACCCTTGTGGAAAGCTGGCCCTGCACCATGCCCGGCCTCTTCCTCTCCGGACACAGGGAGGCGTCACCCCTGCAGCTGTGAGATGACAGACACAGAGCAGAGTCAAGTACGCACTCTAACTCAGTAACGTGGCAAAGGTCAGAGCAGAGCCAGAGCTTTGTGACACTGTCACTGAGCTTCAAGATGTCGGGCCAAGGGTCCACAGAACTCTGCAAGGTCAGGAGACATGCAGGCTGAGTGGGGATTTTATAGACTTCCCGAGACACGTGACTGTGCCATGCCATGTGCTTACAGGACCATCAGCAGATACTCGGTGTCTGTCACAACTATGTAGCCAAAATGAGATAAACAGGTTTTAAAAAGAAGTTTCAACTCTAAATACAAACCTGTTTTAAAAATTGGTCTCCCCTGCTAGGCATGGTGGCACATTGCTGCTCATCTGAGTTACTTGGGAGGCTAACATTGGGAGAATTGAAGTTCGAGGCCAGCCTGGGCAAAAAGTTTGCAGGACCCAATTTCAACAGAAAAAAGCTGGGCATGGTGGTACATACCTGCCATCCTAGCAATGGCAGGAAAGTATAAAACATGAGGATTGTGCTCCAGGGTACCCTGGGCATAAAGTGAGACTGGATCTCCAAAATAACCAACGCCAACAGGGCTGGCAGTGTGGCTCATGTGATATGGTGCCTGTCTAGCAAGTACGAAGGCCTGAGTCCCACCAAAAAAACCTCGGTCCCGCCAAGAAAAGAAAAAAAAAGTTATCTCCTGGTCCAAACCTAGGTATGGACACCAAAAAAGAAAACAAAAACAATTATCTCCCTAAAGCACAGCCCCAAGTCAGTCTTTCTGTAGGGACACACAGGTATCCAGCACAACGTGGAAACCACTGCTTTCAAAATAGCGAGGAGCTGCGGCTTGCTCTCTGCAGCCACGCATGGCCCCTCACCTGGAATCTTTTCCTGACCCCCAGGCTCGAGCTCCATACCCGCCCATGATGTCATCAGTTCTGATTGCTCTAGAGAAAGAAAGAACACTGGCTTAAGCTGGAAGCCGCACTCCACTCCATCTCCAAACTGGAAAAGGTTCATCATAAAAGTTGGCTCAGGCCCAGGCCCAGGCCCAGGCCCAGGCCCGTGAGAATGACAGCACATGAACACAAGGCTGACTAAATATTAACACGTAATGAACAGGTTCTTAAAGTGTATAACCAAAATCTCCAGGGAAAACAGCATTTACAAAGCAACTTACATTTTATCATTCCCACTGTATCTTTCAAAATCTCGCTTCCCTCTCTGGTCAAAACCGTCGAAAGGTCTGCTCCCAGGCCCGCCACCTCTGCCTCTGCCTCGAGGGCCCCCTCTCGGGCCTCCACGTCCTCTGGGTGGCCTGTCCCGATCAAACCTGTCAGCTAGTCTGGGAAAAGATGAGGTGAAAATAGGTGGTTAAGTGATGACAGGTGTAAACTTCCTTGACAAAAAGCTCCAGAAGGGCGTGCTGGCTGCAGTAAGTTGGCAAGAATGGTGGCTTGACTCCACACAGTGTGCTGGGCACTCTCCACACAGCATTTTAGTTCTCACAGACAAATCAGTAATAGCCACCACCGCCAACAGGTGAGGAAACTGAAGCACAACAGGCAGGTCACACACAGCTGCCGGCAGGGCAGTGCTTTCCCAGTGGGAGTGGAGCGGCTCTCGCTCACACCATGGATCTGGTTCCCTCATCTGTAAAATGAGGGTGTTAGACATAGGAATGCTCAGGTGCATTCCTGTCTTGACTTCCAGGTCTTCAAGTTAAGTTAGGATGTTTTGTGTAATAAGAAAAGTACTTCAACTTTTCTTATCCGGAACACACAATCAGTGGTGACATTTGAGACTGAGAACATCAGCCTGCTGCAACCTGACTTGTCACTGCTACCCACATAAACTTCACGGACAGTGAGGACCTCTGCTAACCCCAATCACAACCTTCGCCACTATGTCATTTCACCAAAACACATCATTTTTCTCTGGCCTGTCTAGATTCCTTTTCCTTTCCTAACCTTAAAAAAATTATTTTTGGCTGGGTGCTGGTGGCTCACGCCTGTAATCCTAGTTACTTGACACTGGGAGGATTGCAGTCTGAGGCCAGCCTGGGAAAATAGTTCCTGAGACCCCATCTCCAACATAACCAGAGCAAAATGGACTGAGGTGTGACTCAAGTGGTAAAGCACCTGCTTTGAAAGTGGGAAGTCCTGAGTTCAAACCCCAGTCCCACCAAAAAACAAAACTTACTTTTGGAATGCACAGCACCCACACAAGGTATGGAATTCACACTGCTCCTCAGCCACTCAGCTCGGCCTCTCAGAAGCAGCCACTTGCAGACAGACACACAGAGCTACCTTCTGCATTCTTCTGGACTGTGTCAGCATTCCTGCTTCTCCCACCCTGAGCACAGCCTTCTGGTCTAAGCTAATCCTACCTGACCCTGTGTTTCACTTTCTTACTTCGTGGACCCCTTCACGTGGATGACCAGCACAGAGCCTCGGTTCATACCTATGGCCACGGCTACACAACTTGAGACAGAACCCAAGGCACTCCTCTCCCCCCATCCGGGGGCTTGACCACCACTCATTCCTCCTTACGCCCACCCTCCTGCCCTGTGTCTTCACACCACCACTTTCTGAGGACTTGTCTCTCTTCCACCAGATCGTAAGCTCCTGCAGGAAAGGACCATGCTTTTTATTTTGTTCGTGATTATAACTGCAGTTTAATGAGATAATTTTTAAAACTTTTTCAAGGCTCTTCAAAACATTTAGAGCAACAAAAAATTACTTATGTAAGAGGTCCTGACATCAAGAAATCTAGCGTGATTAGTAGTAATCTTCTTGCATGCCTAAGACTGATATATTAAGAAGCCACAAAACTCAGTTTTCACCTCCATAAGGTGGAGGAATAAGAAACATGACACCATGGGGTGGGGAGGGGACTGAGTGGGGGAAGATGATGGGGACAAGGTAAATAATGTACAATATAAGTCTAATAGGAATTGTCAGTAGGAATCACCCCTGTATAATGTATATATCCCAATTAAAAAAAAAAAAAAAAGAGGGCAGAGAATAGGAATGAAAATGAAAAAAAAAACCAAACATGACACCAGATAAATTCTCCAAGTTTGCTTTTGTATCACACAACTCCCCAACCAGAACCAAGCTTGTTGTAGAAATCTTTGCCAAACCTAATTATGAACTGCAGTTAATATCTAAAGCAAAGTTCTAAAGCAATAACAAAAGAGAAGTAAAGGTGACCTCTTAACCAGGGAGATGAGCAGGGCAATAAAGAGAAAAAAAAAAAAATCTGCTCCCAAAACTGAGTGAAAATGAAAAGCAAAAACATACAAGGGAAGTAATGTCACACTGAAAATCAGATCTAAACGTACAGAAATACCAAGTTCTTTCCAAGTTTAGCAGTGACTGAAACCAAGCCTAAAAACAGTCCTGTGTGCTCTGCACAATGTAATCCATTAAATCTGTCTTCACTGCAGACTCCCCACCTCCAACTAAATGCGTTCTCAATAGCTTCTGTGTAATCCCTTTTATACGTAGATATAAAATACATTATATGTGTGTGTGTACATATGTTTTGGGTTTTTTTTTATTCTTTGGAGACAAGGTCTCCCTATGTAGCCCAGGCTAGTTGTGAACTCACAATCCTCCTGCCTCAGACTCCTGGATTACAGGTTGGTGAAGACTGAGTAATGACAACACCTGAGCCCCGCCCCCTGCTTTCCACACCTGCAACTCACTTTCTTACAACAATCCCAATGCTGTGGTTTGGATACAAGTGTCTCCCAAAGGCAGGTGTCCCTAGCCCAGGTGCTACTGGGAGGTGGTAGAAACTGGGATATTTGGGATCACAGGGATGTGCTCTCAAGGGGACAGGGGACCTCCCCTCTCCATGAAGTGACCGGCTCCCTCTGCTGTGCACTTCCACCATGGCGTGCTGTCTTGCCACAGGTCCAAAAGCACAGGCTGAAATCTCCAAAGCTGTGACTAAAACACACCCTTCCTCCTGCCGGCCAGCTTAGCTGTTCTGTTACAGTAAGGGACAGAGGACTGGCACAGCTCATGAGGACACGTGGGTGAAACTCATGGAGGGCAGGCAAGAAGGCAGGGTTCAGTCTGGGAAGTAGCTGTGCAGATGGATGGCGCTGGTGCACGCACAGCAACATCAAAGTACTGAATGCCTCAGATGGTACAATTAGGACTGCTAGCTGTATTTCGGCGGCACTGGGGTTCAACCTCCAGGCCTTGCACTTGCTAGGCAAGGGCTCACCACTTAAGCCACACTTCCAGCTTTTTACTTTACTTTTTAGATAGAGTCCTCATTTTTGCCCAGGGCCACACTCAAACCTCAACCCTCTCCTACTTATGCCTCCAAAGTAGCTAGGATTAAAGTAGTGTGCCACCATGTCTCATCTTCTTTGTTGAGATGGGTCTGTTAACTTTTTGCCCAGGTGGACCTTGAACCATGATCTTCCTGATCTCCACTTTCCAAATAGCTGGGATGATAGGTACAAGTGATGGTGCCTGGCTAAAAGTGGTAAATTTTTATAGTATGTATATATTACTGTATGTATTTTTTAAAAGCTTCCTTGTTTAGGAGATGGAGTAAACATCTGAATACCTGATTCTCTTGTAATCGGAATTATCTTCAAATGACCAGAAGTAAACCACAGAAAGGAAGAGCCAAAATGTATCCAGACAGAGGAAGACTAATTTCTTAATAGTCTTCACCCTCAGAGTTCAAACTAAGTTCATTTGTGGCTTAAAGAAAATTTCCTACTGCACCGCAAACACCAGCTCTGTACTGGCAGAAGTGGCACTGGGTGCCAACCCCAGCACACACACCGCCTTGGTGGAGTCAGAATTCACAGGGACGTCCCTGGTACTCCAGGTGTCTGTTTTCTCATCTATAAACTGACAGGGGTGAACTTAGGTAATCTTTCAAGAGAATCAAGATTCTGTAATTCTGTAAAATGACAACCATGTTTCTAAGAAATTCAAGGCCAGTCAGGCATCAGTGGCTCACTCCTGTCATTCTAGCTATTGGGAGGCTGAGATCAGGAGGACTGTGGTTTGAGGCCAACCTGGGCAAACATTCATGAGCCCTTACCTCCAAAATAACCAGAGCAAAATGAACTGGAGGCAGGGCTCAAGTGATAGAGCGCCTGCTTTGCAAGCATGAAGCCCTGAGTTCAAACCCCAGTCCCACCAAAAAAGGAAAGAAAGAAATTCAAGGTGATACCACTTTTCAACTTCCAATAAGCAAAAATCAAACCTCACTGTATTTAAGTTTGAAGAAAGCCCTGTAATACATGCTTTCACAGACTGCGACAAAGGCAGTGGTTACTGAAGCAGTGGTTTGTCACTGTGCATCAAAATTCCCCATCCACCCCTACTGAAGCAGAAGACTGGTTCTGGTTTGTGCCTGAGAACTACTGCCTTACAGCCTGCTGGCATTCTACTTCTAGGACTCTGCCTAGGAAACTGTCACACATACAACAGCTGCTCACAGGGGCCAGGCATGGTGGCTCACCCCTGTAATCTCAGCAGTAGGTAGGCTGAGATAGGATGATCATAAGTTCAAGGCCAGCCTAGGCTACACAGTGAGATCCCACCTCAAAATGAAAGCAAAACAATGAAAAAATGACGAAAAGAGTACTAAAAAAACAAACTGCTCACTCGGTTTTCAAAATTTATTTTGTGATAGGGTCTCACTATGAGGCTAGCCTTGAACCCAAGATCCTCCTGCCTCCGCCTCCTGAGTGCTGGGACTACAGACATGTGCCTCCTACCCGCGCCCCTGCCTGGGTATGATGTTATAAAGCAAAGGAATGGAAGCTGAGCAAAGGTCCAACACTAAGGGGACAGATGGTCACGATTCACCCAAGCGCCACACCATAAGCCATTAAAACTGGGGCTGAGCGTTGCTAAGGACAGAGGAAAGGCTCGCGCAGCCAGGAGGAGGTCATGCAGCTTTCAGTGCACATCATCACTGAACATCTCAGTAGATCCACAGAGCACAGAAAAAGAGAAAGAAAATGAGGCCGTCTTCTCACATGGCATGGTAGGTAGTTTTCATTTTCTTTGTAATTTTACACATTTTCCAAATTGTCAAAAGTGACTCTCATTATTAAGGAGCTTATAAACTATCATCAGAAGAGAACCCTAAGGAAAAGAACTTTTCTGCTACCATGGGACTTCACTTCAGATTTCCTTGAAGGTAAAAATTCCCTCTGCACCCCCGCGTGATACATGAGAAGAGCACGTCGCTCTGGGTGTGGTGTTTCCATCACAGTGCATAGCCACCTTCTATGGGGTGACAAGGTATGCTACAAAATAAAAACGTCAAGCCGGGTGCTGGTGACCCACGCCTGTCATCCTAGCTACTCAGGAGGCAGAGATCAGGAGGATCATGGTTGGAAGCCAGCCTGGGGAAATAGTTTGTGAGACCCTGTCTCTAAAAAACCCACTGCAAAAAAGGGATGGTGGAGTGGCTCAAGATGTAGGTCCTGAGTTCAAACCCCACTACTGCAACATAAATAAATAAACAAACAAATAAATAAATGTCAGATTCTAAACGGTAGAGGAGGACTGAGGAACAATTGCAGACCCCAGGGGACCACAGGCAGTGCACTCCTGGATTGGCTCCAGAACACAAAGTTTCTCCTTTGCTAACAGGACATCAGGACAGCTACAGAAATGCGAGTAAAGCATGGAGACTGTGTCACTTAGGAGAATTAGAAGGCAGTGTTGTATCCATGGTAACAAGGCTGACAATTGTGCTGTGGCTTTAGGGTGTACACTCGTACACCTTGCTTTCATGACAGAGCTAAAAGCGTGCATGTGCACATTTGTGTGGCGGGTAAGAGAAAGGACGGCAAAGCAGATGTGGTAAAAAGTGCACATCTAGGGACTTGGGGTGACGGTCACAGGGGAATTCTTTGTACAATTCCTGCAGTTTTTCTATAAATCTGGAATTACATGTAAAGAAAAATTCCTCCATAATCTCATGTCCCTGCTAGGGCCTTGGCTCAAGTGGTAGAGCATCTGCCTAGCAAGCACAAGGTCCTGAGTTCAAACCTCAGTACCCCAAAAAGCAAAGCAAAAAGAAAAAGCCACAATCCTGAATCCGGCCCTCCACGTTTATTTCCCTTCACAGACGCCTGTTCATGCCACATACAAAGACCTCTTCTGTCCTTGCTGGAGGTAACATGTTCATACTGCTAAGAAATGGTGACAACAGGGGTCTGTGTGCTTGAACGGTAATTCCTTTCCCCATAATAAATCTCTGAGAAGAGAAAACAAATGCTCAGCTATGACCCAAGAGGTCCTTCCTAACGACGGGCTGTCCCTTGTGCCAAGCAAACCTTTCTGTCACCAGCTCTCTCCCCCACGGTGCGGATTCACCACTTTAGTTTCCCTTTTCTTTTTGTGATGTTGGAACTTGAACTCAGGGCCTTGCACTTGCCAGGCAGGTGCTCTACCACCTGAGCCATGTTCCCAGCCCTTTTAGCTTTAGGTTTTTTTTTTCAAATAGGGTCTCTCATTTTTGCCTGGGCCCGCCAATTTACGTCTCCAGCATAGGTGGGATGACAAGAGCTAACCTTTTGCCCAGGCTGGTCCCAAACTGTGATCCTCCTGAGAGGATTACAGACGTGAGCCCATTGTGCTCGACTCAGTGTTTTAAACATGAACCTTCCTCACAGGTGACTAGATCTGCAGAAGCCACCGCCTGCTTCACCCTCACGGACTGAGCTGCTCTGGAGTGCGGTTTTACAAAGCCATGTTCCTTGGTTACAATTTGTGGCCGGGATCCTACTGAAGCTAGTGCTCAAGAAGCCGAGAGCCTTGAGAGCGCTGGCTCCTTGACACGTCCTGGGCAATGTGCCATTCTCCCATATCGTTGGGTTACAGTCAGATTCCACATCTGTGGACCCACCAACTTGGATAAAAAATATCGAGGAAAAAACACTGTACCTATACTGAACATGTATGATCTTTCTCTTGTCAGAATTTGCTAAATAATACACAATACCTCTTTATATCACATTTACACTGTATTAGGCACTACAAGAAACGTAGACATGATCTAAAGTAGTCAGGAGGTATGCACAGGTGATTTGAATGCCTCACTGGGTGCCAAAGGGTCTTGCGCATCTGGAAACTTTGGTTCCCTTGGGGATCCCTGGTTGATCCAAGGGAGAACTGTCCTTTCATTTAACTGTGGTTCACTAGCTGCTCCAGTTTAGCCTCTAGTCTGTGCGAGGTAGGCTTAATGACTGAACAAAGGCTTCAGGTCAACTGCACCCATCTTGCTGGTGCCAAGCACAAGACACGAATACCTGCTAGCTATGTGCACGTGAGGCTCTGAAGCCCGGGTGCTGCTCTAGCACTCAGGAGCTGATATTCTTCCATGTTGCAGTGCTTTCTAGAGAAATACAATTGCCCTTCTAGAGCCAATACAATTTCTCTTCGAATTTTATCATGATAGCCTACTGTCCTGACTGTGAAACTAGAATTTGTTCAAATCTGTTTTAAGAGCCTGAATTTGTAGTGCTAAACCAAAACCATAATTATATCCCTACCCAAAAATTAGCTCAGTAGTCTAGAACTTCAAAAGAAATGTGAACCAGTTCGATACACTGTCTTCCCCCCCACACACAAAAGTGCTTTTCACAGTTACAAAGAAGAATTTTTTTCTTTAATGTGGTGCCGGGGATTGAACCCAGAGCCTTGTCCATGCGAGACAAGTGTTTTTCCACTAAAGTACAATCCTAGCCCACAATTCATTTTTAATTGTCTAATCTGATTTTAATGACTGATACGTGAGGTCATTTTTGAAATACGTGGAAGAGCTATCATTTGTCACCTAAGGTAATAATGGCTGCCTGACACCCCCTAACTGAGCACCATGGTACCTACTTTTCATCTGGAAACTTCTCAGCTGTGAAGTCCACCTGCCTGTCGGTCTCATAGGGTCGATACTCCCTGTAGGATCTCCGCTCTGCTCTTTCCAGCGTCACCTCTGTCCCACGGCTGTCACTCCATCCTTGTTGCTCCCCTCTTCTAGGAGTTCGTTTCTGGCCTGCAGCACAAAGTGAAAGCAACACACTAGACCTCAAAAGTACTTTACATTTGCATTTTTCTAGAAACCAATTCACTGGAAAACTAGGGAAATCTGGGGAATTTCAGGGAAAAAACTTGCTGATACTATTACTGCCAAGAATCTACTGATTTTCAATCAAACATTACTATTATTCAAACCTTCCTTTATGTCTGAGAAAGTATAACAAAAACAAGCCATACAAGCTACCCTACAATTACAGGGGGGTTTTGTTTTTTTGAGACAGGGGAGACTAGCCTGAACTCGATGTATCACCCCAGCTGGCCTTGAACTCATGATCTTCCTTGCCCTGGCCTCCCAGGTGCTGAGATTACAAGAGTGTACCACCATGCCTGGCTAATTACAGGTATCTTGTAGTAGCTCTGTAACCTCTATTGGTAATTTTACTAAATTAAGCACATTTTACAAAGGCAGCATTTTTACCAGACAATGATTCTAAGCCCCATTCAGAAAATTAAAAGATACACACCCTGCATTTCTGACTGCACCTTTAGAATTCCAACGGCACATAAAGCAGCTATGGTTTAGCATCAGCTACCAAGGTTTTGTTTGTCAACAGCTAATCGTGTACATACATCCGTATTTTGAAAGCAGATTTTCCTGCTCTCTGACGGGACTTAGACACTTGTCATCATGTCTCAGTTGTCAGCTAAAGTTGATGTTTTCCAAGTCACGAGCCAGGCAGTGCTCGAAGAGCTCATCTTCTTGGTTCACTCAGAGCTTGGCACCCGGCTGGCCAGGGAAAAGCTGCTGGGGCCGCCATAATCTTTTCCTCTCTGGTTTCACTCCTCTCTACTTTTGACACTACAATTTTTAACCCAAGTCTATGTTTGAAGTCATCTCATAGTTGGTAAATACTTCGTGGAGAACTGTGTCGCTTGCCAAATTATCTTCCAGAAATGTCTTTTTTGCATATATTCAAAATATCTTCTCTCAAACATTATGTGCAGTTTCCACTGTTGTGCATTTTCTTAGCAGAAATTAGTCTACCCCGATTATACAGCTATAAAACACTATTAATTTTCTTCAAGTAATGGGTATGATTGTAACGCTGAATTCCCCTCTCAGGCGGATGCACACATAACTTAATACAGGTGTGTACATATCCCCCATTTTCTCACTAGTATTTCCTAACTAAACTTTATTTTGGTGCAGTATTATCTGGTCTTAGTTTAAAGCAAAAAATGTCTGTAGGGCTGGTGGAGTGGCTCAAGCAGTAGTGCGCCTGCCTAGCAAGCACAAAGCTCTGAGTTCAAACTCCTGTACTCCCCAAAGAAGAAAAGAAAATCATGTCTGTAACATCACTAACATAAAATTGGGTAGTTTATTATCTTCAACATATTTCTTTTTGAGCATGAAAAATTATTCAAGAGACCTAAGTTCAACGTGCTATGGTTTTAATGTCCCATAACTAGAAATATTTAAATCTAATTTACATCCTTTTAGTGAGGTCACAATCTGAGCTTGGTTAGGGTGTGGGAATGATGTTATTCTAAGTAGAGTGTTCTGCTATAATTGCAGAAATGTACACAGCCAAGAGACCCAAATTACAAGAGGTATTTGAAATGTAAGGGAGAGAAACCTCATTTTAAAAGCTGGCAAGCTGAAAATGTAAAAGGTCTCTCCATGACACCAGTCATGCACGCTGTCAACAGCAACAGTGCTGCTCCCTCAGTGTAAAAAAGAACGTGAGTACAGTGTCAGGTTTCCCACTAGGAACCCAAGGGACTTTTCATTCTCTCTTTTTTTTTTCTTTTTGGTGGGACTGGGGTTTGAACTCAGGGCTTCATGCTTGCAAAGCAGGCCCTCTATCACTTGAGCCACACCTCCAGTCCATTTTTCTCTGGTTATTTTGGAGAGGTGATCTGTTGAACTATTTGCCCAAGCTGGCCTCGAACCTCACTCCTCCTGATCTCAGGTCCCCAAGTAGCTAGGACGACAGGCATGAGCCACTGGTCACCAGCACCCACATAGTTTTTAATCACATATTTTCTCCTTCCAATTACACAATTCTTAGGTGCTTAGGATGCCTGCTTTCTGCTTCTTCTAAGTTATTTTTTAACTGTATTAACTAACTTTGGAATTGAACATTCAAAACTTAAAATACATTTACTGTGTGCTCTATCATAAAGTCTCTCCCAAAGTTCCCATGTCTTAATTGAAAAGTGTCCAATACAATAGGCTACTTAGTAGGGTCACTCTGCAAACTTTCATTCGCCCTACAGAACTCAAAAAAAAAAAAAAAAAACCAAAGTCACTAGTGACTGACCCCCCACCACCACTGCCGCCCCGGCCGCCATAATTTCTAAGAGATCAAGTTCTGTGCTGGGTCAGCTCCATGTCGGTAATGCAGACGCTGCAGGCCTCCCCAGCCCTTTCTGACAGAAGGCTGACATGTGCAATTCCATCACTTAGCTAAACACACAGGCAGAGAGAAACAGAATACAATGAAACTCACAGCAAGCTTTCCTAAACGGTAACATTGAGCTGTGGCTCAGAGACTATAGAAAGGCTAGGAAAGCGCAGCTCAAAGAGCCTCAGATGATTCAAGAATGAGTTTATTAGGCGAGGCTGTCCAGGGCTTTCCATAGATTGGACAGACAGTCCAGGACACTGAAAACCCACCTTTCCATGGGAAAATCTTTCCACGTGTTTGAGATTCAAAAATGTTCCTATTACATGTGAAAATGTTTACTATTTGTCTACACTAAGCATTCACTTGTAATAGTCACACTGAATGAAAATGTCAGTGTAAAAAAGCAGTCCCCATTCCAATTAGGGCTGACAAAACATTGCCAGTGGCTCTACCACCCGTTACAGATAAATTTAGTACAGTAACTACAGAAATGGAAGTTAATGAGACGCTTTCTCCTGAAATTATGCACATTTGAAAAAGAACTACATGCAGACGGGCTGGAGGTGTACCTCAAGTGGTAGAGTGCCTGCTTTGCAAGCATGAAGCCCTGAGTTCAAACCCCAGTCCCACCAAAAAAAAGAAAAAAGTGTTTTAAACTGGGCGCCAGTAGCTCATGCCTGTAATCCTAGCTACTCAGGAGGGAGGGATCAGGAGGATCGAAGTTCGAAGCTAGCCTGGGCAAATAGTTTGTGAGACCCTAACTCAAAACACCCTATCACAAAAAATTGCACTGGTATGGCTCAAGGTGAAAGCCCTGAGTTCAAGCCCCAGTACTGAAACAAAACAAAACAGCAGAGTCTCCACCCTAGCTACAAAATTGACTAAAGATCTTTAATACAGCACTGGAAAGCCACGTTGCATAAACTGAACCGACAGGAAAAAAAGTTGTAAGTATACTAGATGACTATGTCAAGTAGAAGAAGTAGGTTGCAACCCAGTTTATGTAAGTCTAGAAAAAAAAGCTGCTCTATGCATTTAGGTTAGAAATTATGCATGAAAATGCACAGTGCTAATGGCAGGAAAAATAAGGGGTCTTCACTTAACTTCATACATTTTGAGGTTGTTTAAAATTTCAGTAACAAAGACTGGGAATGTGGTTTTAGTGACAGAGGGCCTGTCTAGCATGTATGAGGCCCTGGGCAGGATCTCTGACATGGGAAAAAAAAAAAATCGTAAAATATATTTTTAATTTTAAAAAGGCTAAAAATCAGTCTACTGGCAGCACTAACTACAGCTTCACAGTCTTCTAAAAGATAGTTTCATTAAAAAGATTAATTAAGCCAAGTTTGGTGGTTCATACCTGTAATTCCAGCTACCTGGGAGTCAGAGATTAGGAAGATCCTGGTTCAAGGCCAGCCAAAGCAAAAAGTCAGTAAGACCCCCCCATCTCAACAAATCAGACAGGAATGGTGGTACGTGCCTGTAATCCCAGCTACGCAAGAGGCGTAAGATAGGAGGGCTGTGAGCAAGACCCTGAGTTCAAATCCCAAAACAGTAATAAATCAAATTAATAAACGGAGAGAGAAAGTCTAGCCTTACTCAATTTTTAACTCCCATTATGTTTACCTACATAACTGAGAAAAACTCATCTCAGTGTTTAGGGCCACTCGCTTACTGAGCTACATTCAGTTGCATTTTTGTTTCGTAATTTTTTTTTTTGGTGGGACTGGGGCTTGAACCCAGCAAAAGCCTATTTTATAATTTTCAACATCTTCCTTGTAGTGACCGCTCTGTCACTGGCACCGTCGTCAGAGGTGCTGTTCCTCCAGGGCGGCAATGCTCTTCTTCGAGAGCAGGGCTGCAAGGCCCCTGCAACACAGAGCCCAGCGCCGGCGGGAGTGGGCACAACGCACGCCCAACCCTAAGGTCCTGCGGGCGCTGGGGCCGGCGCTGCACCCCAGGGTAATGGGGGGGGGCCCTGCCGCGCAGGCGGTCCAGCCGCGTGGAATGAAGGCTGCAGCCTCCCTGCCTCCCTCCCCGCGCCATCAACACCCAGAGGCTCTGCCTGCCAAGCAGCTCGAGCTGGCCGCAAGTCACACGTCCCCGCCGGCGACACCGCGGGGACCCCGCGCCCAGCCCACGCGCGCTCCTGACGTCACAGGGCCCCCCTCGCTCCCGGACCCAGGCCCCCGCCGCGCCGTCAGGCTTCTCCGCAGAGGCCAGGCGGAGGATGGCCAGGGCTGCACACCGGGGGACCCCGGGGCCCCCTCCCTCCCTCCCTCCCTCCCCGGCAGTGCCCCTCAACTTTGCCCAACTTGTCGCCTGGACAAGTTCCAGGGTCATGCGCCCCCCGCCCCGGCCGAGGACACTCGCGGGCAGCGGTGACCTCCGCGGCCCCGCGCGCGTACCGGGCGGTTGCGGGCCGCCCCCGGGGCTGTCGGGCTGCTGCTGCGCGCCGGGGACCGGGAGGCTCTTGCGCTCCTTCTGGGACTCCCTGCGGCCGCCGCCCGCGCCGGCTCGGTGGCCCGCGGCCCCGGCCGGGCTCCTGCCGCCGCGGTTGCCGCCTCCGGTCCCGGTCCCGGTCCCGGCGCCGGTCCCGGCCCCGGCCGCCGCCGCCTCGTCGCGCCTCTTGCGCTGCAGCTGCTGCTGGTGCCGGCGCTCGGCCTCGCGCAGGATGTCGAACGGGTCCGACTCGTCGTCCAGCAGCTGATGGAAGCGGTTGGCCACCACGCAGCCGAAACTCTCCTGCATGGCGGCGCCGGCGGCCGCCGCGGCCACGGGGCTCCCCAGGACACCCTTCATGATGCCGCCGCCGCCGCGGGCAGCCCACGCAAAGCGAGTCTCAGCGAAGCCGGCGGCGAGGACCCATCCCGCCCGCCCGCCTCAGCCGCCGCCGCCCTCCCTAACCCTAGCCGGCAGGCCGCTCCCTCCCGGTGCCCGCCCCCCGCGTCGCCGCTGCTGCCGCCGCGGCCCGCCTAGCCGGCGGCGGGGCAGCCAATCAGAGCGCGCGGAAACGCCCCCTTTTCCTAACTGGCGCGCCCGGGGGCCCAATCACGGGCAGGCGGCTGTGACGTCACGCAGCGTCTGCGCCCCCCTCCTCCGACTCGGCAGCGAGGGGCGGGGCCCAGGGGAGGAGCTAGGAGCTGGAGGAACGGCCGTGTGGTCCAGGCTGCTGCGGCTGAGGCTGCTTCGTGGCCATTAGGTGTGTGCCCTCCGGGACCTGAGTCCGTATCCGTTATCCGCCACGGTTCTTTGAAGGTTGTATAACCATCTGGCCATTCTCCGGCCATCTACGGAGCACTTACTATGTGCCAGGCATAAATTGCGCTGGAGGAGAGGAGATACTCGCTGCCCGTTTTCCTGCATCTTAGGAAAAGCGCCCTACAGGAAAGGCAGCGTTCTCTGCTAGCCCGCAGCGCAGGGATCCGACCCAATCAAGTGACAAGGCAGGGTGACCAGGCACAAGTGCAGACGTCTTGAGGGCAGACCACTGAAGTCCAAAGAAAACCAGTGTGACTGGAACACCAAGAGCTGGGGCAGGGCCTTATTTTAGGCATCACTCCAGAAGCGGTGGGAAGCAAGTTTTAAACGGATTTGTGTTTGACACTGACTTGGACTCAGGCTGGTGGCAGGGGAGGTGACTCAACTCCAGGGCTGTTTTGGAGGTTCTGTCAACAGGGCTTGGCTCTGTACTAGGTGTGGATGGACAAGGAAGAAGAAAAAGAGTATGCAGGCTCCTGTTTTTCCGGCTTGGGCACCTGGAGTGGGACAGCTAAGTCATCGCTGTGAGGTGAAGCATGAGTTCCATCTTGGACGTGTTGAAGGTTGGGTTTGGGGTGTTTTTTTTTTTTTTTTTTTTTTTCCTTTTCAGACATTGAGTTAAGGCCCGGAGCTCAGAGAAGAATGCACTGGACTTCCTCCAGGAAATTCTGTCTGGGGAATAGGTAGAGACACTCTCGGCTGCCCATCCTCCTGTCATTCCCTCCCTCTTACAGTTCGTATTGTGCTCAAGAATCAGGTGGCCACAGGGGAAGTGGGGCCCCTTCCAGCCTCAGCCCTCATTAATCTTCAATCATTCATTGTAATTCCACTCCCTTGCCTGAAACTGCTGAGGAATAGGCTGTGTTGCAAATCTGGTGGAACAGATTGGAGGGAAAGGTATTCTGGGAGAGGTTTTCTTGCACCTAAAAAGGAAATGAGAGGTTTGGCAGAGTGGCTCACGTAGGAGAGTGCCTGCCTAGCAAGCATGAGGCCCTGAGTTCAAACCCCAGTACCACCGAAATGAAAAAAAGAAAGGAGAAGGAATCTCCCCCACTACTTCCCCCACTCCTGTGCTTTGATCCTTGTTATGTGAGGAGCTCATGGATGCCAGGGATCTGGGGATGCTGTCCCTTATTGCAACCACAAGGATGGAGAAAACCTCGGTCCTTAATATTGTTGAACTGCAGACTTCACCCACTTGGGAACCTCCCTACCTTGACTTGTTATTATGTAAGATGACAAATGCCATTACCATTTAAACTGTGCTTAGTCGTGTGTTTCCTCTATTTAAAAGCATCTCGTTAGAGCATGTTGCTTTGACTTTCTTTGCTCAACTCTGAGTTTATTTCAACAGCAGATGAACAAGGAATTCTTAAACCCAAATACCACAAGGAAGGTCTGTGTTTTACTTACCTTTCTGTCATTCCCGAGGCAGTCAGTGGTGACTCCTGTCTGGTTCATGACAATGTGTGTTCCCAGAGGTTGGTATTCAGGTAGCTGTATAGGTTACCAAACACAGAGTTCCCTTAGACAGAATGTAAAATACACTGAAATCTTCAGGTTGACATGAAAGTCGCAGAACAAATCAACTGAGAGTTTCAAAACTAAATTACATGTAGAGAGCGACACCTGGGTGAAGGCCAAGGTGGGACGGGGGCTGGGTCACATAGCGCCTGGAAAGGATGAATTTGTTTGTATGCGTGTGCTGATGGCAAAGAGTTTTTTCATGTGCTAAAAATAAAGTTAAAATGCAACAAATTAATTAATAGATGAGAAGCTGAGAAATGTCTCAAGAGCAAGTGGGTATGATAATGTTTTTTTTTAAAAACACGTACTAATAATCACAGTTGAATCTTATACAGTACTAAGTACCAGTCATCGTTCTAAGCACTTGCTCTTGTGATCCTTACAGCAACCTGGTAAACATGGAGGCTTTCAATGACCCTGTGTCACCTAGGATGAGTGCTCTGTAAGTGGCAGAGGTAGGCCTTGAGCGCAGGCAGTCTGGCCTGCGTCTTTTCTCCTGGTGGTGTGTTTTCCTGCTAAGCACTGAGCTAAAAGCTGGGGTTTTAGTAGGACATTGTCTCTCCTAAAGATCCATTCAAGCAAGGGACAAAACTTATTGTGCATTTACAGCACCAATTCTCAGAAAAACCTCAAGGGGACCTGTCTGTGGATCCATAATTACATCAGTAATCAAAATTATATAAAGGAGAGCTTACTGGGATTCTAGTGGGGCAGGTGGTATACTTTGATCCTCAAAATAGCGTTTAGCGGTGGGAAAGCTATTTTGTGTCCACGTTAAGGTTAGACTAAGATGCTGAAATAGACCCCACCTCTTACCTTTCACACTTCCTATCTTACTATGACCCTTCAGTGCATTAACCCTTTGATTAGGCCAGAGTCCTCACAAGCTAAGCATCTCTGAAAGCACCTTCACAGACACTAATCTCCTTAGGTGTTAATCCAATCGAGCTGACAAGGAAAAATCCATGATCAGAGCAGTTTAGTCCTACCTGACACCTACTACGTTTGACGTGTTCAGTCTCCGTCCTGGGCACATGACTGAAAAAGATAACCTGATCCCAAAGAGAGAGAGGGATTCTCTGACTGAAGTGCAGGCCTGTGTTTTCTGGGCCTCCTGGATTTCCTGTCACTGACCAAATTGAGAGATGGGAAAAGCAGAAACCTGGCAGTCAGTAGAGGAGGGAGGGAGATAGAGAGAGAGAGAGAGGAAAGAGAGGGGGAGAGAGAGGGAGAGACAGAAAGGAAGGAGAGGGGGAGAGAGAGAGAGTGGAGAGAGGAGAGAGAGACAGACAGGAAAGAGAGGGAGAGAAGGAAAGAAAAAAAAGAGAAGGAGGGAGAGAAAGAAAGAAGAAAACAGGCAAAGAGGACGAAAAAGAGGAAAAAGGAAGAAAAGAAAGAGTTGAAGGAAGGAAAAGAAGGGAGGGAAAAAGGAAGAAAGGAAGGGAGGAAGGAAGAAGAAGGAAGGAAGGGAGAGGGAGGAAGGAGGGAAGGAAGAAAGGGAGGAAGGAGGGAAGGAAGGAAAGAAGGAAGGGGAGGGAAGGAAAGAAGGAAGGGGAGGGAAGGAAAGAAGGAAGGGGAGGGAAGGAGGGAGAAAGGAGGGAAGGAAGGAGGGGGAGGGAGGGAGGAAGGAAGAGAGGAAGAGGATGAAAGGGAGAGAGGAAGGAAGGAAGGAAGGGGGAGGAAGAAAGGAAGGGAGGAAGGAGGGAAGGGAGGGAGAAAGGGAAGGAAGAAGGAAGGGAGGGAGGGAGGGAGATGGAGGGAAGAAGAAGGAAGGAAGGAAAGACACATATGGGACCAAACAGTGGAGAAGAAACTCACTCTGCAGGAGGCTGGTGAGCAAGCTGCCCCAGAGCAGGGAGGGAGAAGCTCTTTTTCCCACCCAGTGACTCTCCAGCTCCCTCTGCTGGCAGAGCCTGCCATTCTGCAGAGGAGAATTCGGGAGAGGAAGATTATTTGAAGCGTGCAGTTCCATTTGCACAGAGCAGGCACTGAAGGGTGAATTGGGAGCTACCAGGCAGCATCTTAATAACTTGTCAACCATGGTGTACTTAGCCAAGTTCCTGCTCGTGGGCTTTTTGACGCTTTCCATTCTCACCATTCCCAATGCCACTGTGAGCGACCTCAGGCGTGTATAATCTCACACTTGAGTGATTCTTTAAACAGAATGTTCAGTGGAGAGAAGGACAAGGAGAGATTTTCATTCCCTGAGTGGATTAACCGATCAAAGCAAGTCCTGGGGAAATGTGAATGTCAGGAGCTGTCTGGGTTGCTTAGAGATGGCCAGAACTTTGTCTTGAGGTGGCTCAGTTTCCTCGAGGCTCACCATAAATCTAGGAGGAGCCTCTGTTTAAGACATCTTCATGGGCCCCTCTCCACCTCCCATCCTGATGCTCACTGAAGCCCAGTCTTGTGTTCTGGCCTGTCGGGACTGACACAGCATTCTCTACCCTGCCCCCGCCCTCAGGGGACCCTTGACTCCTCCTTTATCCTTCCAGGATTGGGACATCAGTACTGCAAATGTGCCCAATATCTTGGCTATTTCTATTTCCATTGTATAGACAAGAATGCAGGAGAGCAGACAAACATCCTGAGTGAGAAGAGTGGTTCTAGATCACAAAAGGCACCTTGGCTCAGTAACTGTCAGCTAAAAAGACATTTCTTCCCTGGTCAACTGAAGTGTTCAAAGCCTTCGTGGTGTGTAGTTAAGGAAGCTGAGATGTACAAATGTGACTTATTAAACAGCAAAGACAAAAGCATCTATAGGAGAAAACAGGATGAATAAATAAAATGACAATATTTTCTTTTTTTGACAATACTGGGGTTTGAACTCGGCCTTGTGCTTGCTAGGCGCTCTGCCACGTAAGCCACTGCAGCAGCCCTTTTTGCACTGATTATTTTTGAGATAGGTCTTGTTTTATGTCTAGGTAGACCTGAACAAAGATCTTCTTACCCCAGAGTAGCTGGGATGATAGGCACGGAACACCGCTTCCAGCCATCACTTGAGATGGGGGGGTCTCGTGAGCTTTTTGCCTGGGCTGGTCTTGAACCATGTTCCTCTCAT